CATTTTGCGCAATAATGTCCACCGGCACTTCCTGGAAGTGAGACGTTGTATATGCTTCGTTGCCGCACAATGCACAAGGACAGTGGTCTGGTACCAGTTGTACTAAAAATTATATCGAGTGTATAAACTGTGTTGTTATGAGGGGCGTTGCTAGATCTTTTTCAGTGGGGGAGGGGGGAGAGGCCACCGATTACCTTCAAAACGAGCCACCAATTACCGACAAATATATTAATGCCAATGTCCCAATGTCTACAGATTTCACCCTGTAAACCCGGGGCCAGGAACTAAGTTATTTTTCAGTTTTCCCCCTCCCGCGCGCGGAAGCTATGACGTTTCATTAATTTATTAGAGAAAGAAGACGATTCGTTGTACTGTTTTCGACCTACAATCCTTGTCCGAATTCAGTTTCCTCCCTCCCGCGCAAAGCGCGGAATCTTTGACATTTCATTAGATTATTAGAGAAAGAAGACGATTCTTTAAATTATTTTTTTTACTCTTAATCTTTGTCTGAATTCAGTTCCCCACTCCCCCCCCCCTCACGCGCGAAGCGCGGAAGCTTTCGGCATTTCATTAAATTATAAGAGAATGAAGACGATTTGTTGTACTGATTTCTACTCTTAATCCTTGCTTTCACATTTCATTAAATTATTTGGAAAAGAAGACGACGCGTTTCCTTGAATGTTTACTCTTAATCCTTGTCTGAATAGAGTTTCCCACTTCCGCGCATAGCGCGGAAGCTTTGAAGTGTCATTAAATTATTAGGGAAAGAAGACGATTCGTTGTACTGTTTTCGACACTTAATCCTTGTCTGAATTCAGTTTTCGCCCTCCCGCGCCAAGCGCGAGAGCTTTGACGTTTCATTAAATTATCAGAGAAATTGTCTGAATTCATTTTTTCTTTTCTTTGTCCGATAAAAAGTCACAGTTCGTAGGGAGAAAATAAATTGCCGGCCGACTGACATTAAACATCTCACCGACTTCAAACTTCTAAACTGATATAGTACACGAGCTAGATCGAGCAAGAATACCGGCACAGCGGACCCGACACAGCAACATAATTATCTATGCGTATCTCTCTTGCTCCTTCGACGTGGCGACTCCACCCAACATTTCCTTTGCTCTCTTGCTCCCACCCCTCTTCTCTTAGGCTCTTAATACCACCCTCTCTCTCTCTCTCTCTCCCCTCTCTTTCGTTTGTTTTGTTTTGTTTGTTTTCTTATGTTTCCTTTTTCTCCCTTGTTTTCTTTCTCCTTTTTTTTTCTTTCTCCTTTTCTTTTTTTTTTTCTTTTCCTTTCTTTCCTCTCCTTCCTCTTTTTTTTCTCCTTCTTTCTTCTCTTCGCTTTCTTTACTTGGTCATGGTTCAATTTTATTTGGGGGGGGGGGGGGGCTGGCGCCCCCCAAGCACCCCCACCAGTACGCCAGTGAGTACTTTAGATCTCTTCATTATACCATAATTATGTTCTTCATTTAATCTGTATTAGTGATTGTTGTTCAGTTTACACGCAGTTATTCTTGTGATATCATATTTATTGATAAGCCTTTATAAGGAACCTTGATAATTAAATTATGTATTTTCTACTGAATTATTATTTAATCAATCGCCTTCTTTTCTTCTTCTTTTTCTTTCTCAATATACAGGCAATGCCCGAATGTAAGTATTAATCTACTGAAATCAGACTTAAGATGGGTTAAATTTTATTTCTGAACGAATACAGTCATGTGGAAAAGGGGAGAAAATGTCAGTCCTTTAGGCAACGAACATGAAGTGAATAATAATCTATGTTTCGTGGTTCCTCCATAAACTCTTGCTCCAATGTAAATTTTATTCAAACATATACGAAAATACGTGTTTTTTGCAAAGCCGGTCAATGTTATAAAAAGCAAGATTGTAATAACGATGATAAAGTTTTTTCAAACAATTTCTTTAATATTATAAGGATGATTTCATGTTGTTTTGACCGCCGGGTGAATATGTTTATGTGTTTTATTATTTAAAATAAAAATTCATATTTCTAAACGTTGGTCGTTTTCTTAAAACTATATAGGGGATGAACTTTTTAATTCTAGGAAAGATTAATAAACAATTCAACTATACTCCCACAACTAGTAACCTTTAATCTAATGTGTCTTATCAAATAATATTATATTCTCCAAAGGTAAGATAGATTTAGCGAGATGCTGTTTAAAAAAGAAAAAATTAACACCAACTCATAATTAATTGTGACTTTTTTTTTCCTTTCTCCTTGCAGGGTGACTGCAGCAGAATAAAGAAAGGGTAAGTAATGTTTTTTCTTTTTCTTTTCAGTATCAGTAATAGATATGATTAAATAAAATAATGAAGGTAATGAATTGATTATTTTGTTAGTACAATCTGAATCCAGTTTTAGTCGTTTTGAATTTTATGCTCCTTACATTTGTCTTTTCTTTCCATATACCGATATCAAAAATCATTTATCAATTATGTTTCTGTCCGCCCTTCAAAATCGTCATGTAATATTAGAACAGGCCTATTGCTTAGTGATGACGGTACTTTGAAATTAAATCGTTTGTGAATGCAAGGATTTATTGATGTGAATTTTAGAATAATCAGTAGAAGATGTGAAGCATGTTCTTGCTATGAAATACCGGGATTGTTATATTTTTTTCTTTTCTTTTCATTTCATTTGTTTAGAAGAACTTTTGTTTAACACGTATTATATCTTTACCTTTTTCACCTTCTAATTTGCAGCTTCTGTCTCGAAGTAAGTATTTATTTTCGTTGATCCAAATAGCCCTATTACTTTCGGAATGATGTTTACAACAAAGAATAGTTTACGGTTCTAACGGATGTGATTAGTAACGGTTTTAGAAGGGGTGGGGGACCCCATATTTCTTAAAGTCCCCATTTTTTTCTATAGATTATAAATGAATGAAATAAAATAAATAAAAGAACGTCCAAGCCCCTATATACCCAAAACAACCCCAAATATTCTTCTCTTCTCTATACCCTCTTCGGGATGGTGATCGTGGGGAGGGACGCATCGATATAAAGCAAAGAAGATGAATTTCAAAGAAGATGAATTGGAGGAAAAGAATTTGGGATTGATGAGAAATAAATTTCCCCTACATTTGAGAAAATGGGAAAACTGGGAAGTTTTAGGGAAAGCGAGGCATTTCGATATTGTAAAGAAACCTGTCCCAGAAAGCATTCCCTATATCCACGCAAGTAGAAGGGAGGGGAAGGGGGAAGGGGAAAAGGGAAAAGGGAGAGGAGAGGGGGATGGGGGGTAAGTCCAAAGTGTTAGAGAGGAGGAAATTAAGGGAGAGGGTATTGGGGTAGATTGTGTTTTAATAAAAGAACAAATCATAATTTCATATTATGTTTAGAAATATTTTTTCTAAAAAATATGTTGTATCTAATATGTTCGTTTATCAAATGATAAGAAAGCTTTGTTATAATTACGTTGCAGTTTTGTATAAACTATTTATGTACGAAAAAGAATTTGCTACAAAACATTAAAAAGTAATAACCCATGTGCACATATACAGACATGTTATTTCAAGGCGAGCAAAGTCCCTGTCATCGATGTTGATACTGGTTCTATTTGATATGCACCCTCTTCAGTCAACCAGCCTATATTTGGATCAACTTCTGCATTTGTTTGGGGTGGCGGGGGTAGGAAATGACTCTGTCATCATAATGTTCCGTAATTGTGAGGATCCTTCCTTAATATTAATGCAATCTTCTAAGTTATCAATGATTTCCACCAATCGCATAGTTGCTATTACATTCTTCATTTATGGATTTGAGCATGATACACTCAGGAGATGAATATTTATATGTAGGGGTTTTTAGTTGAGAGAAGTGTCAGGAAATTATTGAATATTTACAAGCCAAATGTTCTTTTTTTTCTTTGTTTATCTTTGATGCCCAGGGCAGCTGCGTGAAGGTAAGTTAAACAGTTTGGTTTATCATGGTGTTTTAATTTAATTTGTAGATTGTAATCTTTTTTAAACATTCATTTCCAGTTCCTTCCCCGCTCACAATAGTACCTTGCTGTGAAAGAGTATCTCACCATTTCAACTTTTATTATATACACTTATTAATAAGAAATGTATTTTGTGTTTAAAATCGAAAGTACATATTATGGATGAATTAATGAATGAACGAACGAACAAAGGAAACAGTTGATGAATCGGCTCATGTGTGCATGGAAAGACGTAATACGTGTATATGATATTAATTATTTAATGTTATTTATCATTGTATCGCAGAACGAGCAATTCTCCTCGCCATAAACGTTTGTGCAGCACTCAATCGACCACTGAGGATGGATAAGCCATGATGATATTATTTTTTCGTTAGAGTGTGCATTATCATACAATATAATACTATTACTATTTAAAAGATATTCATGGCTACAAAAGCTCCTGGAAATAGCTTCATTAATATTGGAAGTGCAGTACTGTGTCACATGTGCCGGACTGCCGGTGTCTAATTTCAAGCTGATAAAAAGGTGTTGATGTTCATTATGTATGTAATGATACTTCAGAATACATTACAACTTTATTGTCGAGCTATGGAGTCGAGAAACATGCAATAGAAAAAGTTGTTGTAATTTATTCTGAAGTATCATTACAGACACTTAAAGAGCGAAAATTATAATGAAATCGAAAAATGATGCAAAAAAGTGCGATTCAAGTACATGTTTGTTATGAAATTAAAATTATTAATTGAGAACGACCCACCTCTCGACCACCCCCCCCCCCCCCCCCACAACACACATACACGCGCGATTTAACCAAGCATAATAAATAATTCAATACAAATATTGATTGCAATAAAATCGCAATATTCCGTGAATAAAAATAGAGCAATGCTGCTAAAACGCATTAGAAATCAAGTCATTATGCAACCCATGAGGGTAACCGACTTCTTGAAAAGTCTTTCTAGACAAACAGCGCTACAAGGAGATCTGCTTGGGCAATTAACAAAAAATAGTGATGACCGTACAATGTGAAAAGTGGGGTTATATAATATATCAAATTGACATTCCTGGATCTTGCAACTAGAAAAGGGCTGGCGCATAAGAGCGTATTAAATGTAGCCTGCCGTGACAAAGTACGTATTTTAAAGTGATCCATGTGCTTTCTTGTCTATCATATAAAATTATGAACTGGAATTTAGATGTGGAAAAAAGTGCATGACGAAAACTCTGTAAACGAATATAGTCGCAATGTAGGCATTAGAGACTTGTGAAAAACATGTCAACATAACGAAATGCAGTATTGGTCAAATTTAACTTTGTGTAGCATTGTATTGTTCCGGCCCATTATTGGATATCAACGAAATTTAATTATTTACAGGATTAACAATCATGTAAATGGTGATTAAGATGAATGGCGACATAAAAAGAGTGCTAAAATTATAGGCATGTTTGTTATAACTCGCAATTGATGTTTATCATTAATATTGTTATTTAAGAATAAAGGAATTAAATATAATTGCAAATGTGAGCTCATCATTCGTTTTTTTTATCATTTTCTTGTGTCTTTAGTGGCTCCATATACAGACAAAAATGCTTGTACTGGATATTGAATATTTGAGGATTGATGGGATATCATCTATATCTGTGATCTTTGTGATGTCTAAGTACAATGTATAGCAGTAGAAGTGAGGAAGTGTTTACGAGGACAGTTTTACGGACTCCGAGAAAAGTAACAATATTCTCCATCTCTCTCCTTCCTCTCCCATCCCCTCTCTCTCACACACACACATTCTATCTCTCTCTCTCGCTTTCTCTCTCTCTCTCTCTCTCTCTGTTTCTATCAAGGTACATGTACCACACTGTGTATGTGACAATTAGAGGTTTCATATTGAGAAATGAAGCGATGCAGCAAAATAACAGGAGGACCCGATACATATCTGTTCTCTTTGGAAAATCAATTTTATTTCAGCCACATCTTCCTCACCAGATGACTGTGTTCCCATAGCCTTATTCTCTCACTCACTGATGTTGAATGAAAATAACAAGATGTCACACTTAATTTCTTTTCTTACTAAAACAAGATTTATGCCTTCAGTAAGATCACTAATGAAGAACAAGATGTGCCAGAAATTATGAAGCAATACATACATTACTTTCCCGACCAAAAAATAGAACTGTACATTGTTTGAGATGAAAAAAATAATGGCTAATTTATTAATTTTTGTGCGATATGGTTTACCACAAAAATTGTGGTACATTTGACATAAGCATGGAGTTAATGCTAATTTGCTGAATCCATATTTTTTTAATATGGAATAAAATGATAAATATATAGGTTGTTATTAGTGAGCAATGTAGCAATATACAAGCATTCTTCTTCTTTCGCTTTCGTTAACATTACATCATTTCATTCTATTCTATCTATTATTTTTTTTGCTACAACAAAAGCTCATTAAAACTGTATATAGAAAATAAAAGCCATGAGCAAAAAAATGTCCCCCCACAAAGATGTAATAATCTTCCTTTTGTGTCCGACGTGACACACTGGATCTGTTATTAAACTAACAAGACACTGAATTACCACAAAATATATCCTTACAAGCTATTGGTACATTAAGGTGTCATACATAATTATCATGATTTATAGATGAACTCATTCTCTCTACTTTAATTCAGCAGATCATTTTCACAAGCATTCTCAATCTGAATTATACAACTTTTTTTTTTTTATAAATATTTAGATACCCAATACTGTAACACCATGTAAAGTTGTGGTATAATGGAAGTCAAGGCAGACAAAAACAATAGATGCTAGACTACCGTATAACAATAAGTTGGACAAATGTTTTAGTACAATAATAATTGAATAGATATGAATGAAAGTAGAATCACCTTTTGGATGGAATACAAACATTATACTGAGTGAATAAAATTAAATATACGATTATTCTAATTTAATCTAATACATTCATGTCCAAAAAAAGCTGCCTTAGAAGCAACTAGCCCTAAAACAGACAATAAGGAAAAAAATATTATACTAACTCTTCCACATAACACAACAGTCATCAGATGAGACACAATTAGTGACATCTATCATGTATATATATAAAATAACATTAAAATAATTTACAGGGTTTCCTTTTCTTTTTTTCTTTTTTTTTTATCTTTGAAGAAATGAAAACCTATGCATGAAATGAACTGCCTGTGTACAATGTACAATTTTTATTTTTTCTTGGGACATTTAAGTGATTTAGAGGTGGATGAAATTGGTCAGCATCTCATCTGCACAGTGGCCAGATAGTCTGCCCGTATCTTTGGAATAATAATGATTAAATAAAAATAGGTATTAAATCCAAGTGTAAGGTTTGCTTCCATGATAATACTCAATGAAATAAAATGACTGAAATATTTCATACACAAAACATTATTATTTAAAATCTAACTCATATATAATAAACTTGATGGTACAGTGAGGTATGGTTTTATAACGAATGATAGTGCTCCCTTGAGTATCCCATCATGCTGTATTGAAACAAATAGTGCATATACACTGTTACATTGTAATCCTTGAAAAACATTTGGACACTTGTCAGTAAGCTGCTGTAAACATGAATGATAACAATAATAATATTTATTATTTCAGAACGCTAAAAACAAAAAGTACCATATCAGTCACAAAATCAGAGAATTTGAAGAGAAACAGAAAAAAAATAAGACTCACTACAGCAAGGATATAAACTTCTGGGGTACTTTCCTTTTTTTTTAGTAAACATGACCTCAAAAATATTTTGAATAGTATTTTGTTCTACAGTTCAGTACTACATAGTTGCTTTGATAGAGTTTATAATATTTCAACAGGAACATATAAGGCTGTGAAAAATAAAAACAAAGAAAACTTAATTTATTTCCATTACATACACCCTGGACTTACTACGCATAACCATACCATATTTTACTAACATGCGAAGTGCATGTCAGTTATAGGTATAGCTCCTCACAACTAAATATTAAATAAAGAAAATGTACAAGTGTTAAACGCAATGATTTCACTCATGATTAACATTCCGAAACTACACTGACTGTACACCTTTCTCAATCTTTCATTCAATATTTGATCATTTAGTTAATGTAAATGAAATTATCATCTGATTTACAACAACAAAATGCCTTAAATTGTTCATACAATCTATTCAAGGAAAACAAATGCTGCTAATGATGAGTTCTCACAAAATACACAAGCTGCTTTGACTCTCCCATTTCTTTCATCGTTGCACATTCCTTTCTCTCCTCAGTCTCTCTGCCTCATCTGACTTCTGAGGGGCGAATCGATTTCTCTCGTCTGGTATGAGGATCTCGTAGCCCACGGGTACGTTGCCCTGTTTCCGCTTGCCCATAGCTGCCAAGATGACATCTACACCAGCATTGATGGTAGATTCCTGCTGGGATGGGGTTCCAAGCTGCGGGTTCACTTCTACCAAGTCCATAGAGCTCAGCATACCTGCAAAATGGATGACATTGTCACATTACTTCCAATAAATCTTTATATGTGTAAATACAGTGAAGAGATGTGGTACAAAGCATTCAACAGAAAAATGCCATATATCCTCCTTCATGTAAATGTACAAATTTTCCAAAAAAATGAAACATACGAATATCACTACAATTTCAGAATATCATAACATTTATTTAACGTGTTTACTAAATAGAGTATTTTAAATGGATACAGGAAACAGATATCTAAGTACCTTGTCATATTTCTTCAAACATGTCCAGTAATTTACAAACCCAGATATAACAAGACATCATAATATATTGCCCCACTTTGTCAATACTTGCTATTACTATGATAAAAATATGAGAGTTAGTCTTGAAAACTGAGATGGAAATATTAAGTGTAGCTCGGTCTTTACCTGTTTCAGCGATTTCTTCCGCAATGTAAATGCCTTCTCTATACGTCAGACCTCCAAGTACTAGAGAAAGATAAAATTTAAAAAATGTTTAATTTCTTAATTATTATAAGTACTGGGGCATGAAACATATATAAGAACAACTTGTCACAACACTGCAGCAAGTGTTTGTACAATTACTTAGACCAAAACTCCAGTGATGCCGGGAAAGAGGAGAATTACATGTCAACTAATTGTCTTTATCTTTATCAGTGGTTTTATGTCAAGAGAAATTCTTATAAAATTCTTATTGATGATACACACTTCACAAGAATAAGCTTTGTCATAAAAATGAGAGAAATCGTTTACATTCAATCAATATAATTGATGCTGGGTCAATGCTATAGCATTCTGAAGAGTTGGAAGTGACAAAAATTTTCCAAAAAAATTTGCATTTTTTAAAGAGAATGAATAAGGCCATAAGATAAAAGAATGGATGGCAAATCTGATGTATGATATTCATTATGCACAATACTGAAATGGATCCACATATATTTATGGTTTGTTTGCAACTTGGCACAGCGGTAGTCATATCTCCTTGTGTCATCACACACCCTCCGGAATACAAATACACATGTTACAATTGGCGGCTGATAAAACACATTAACAAAGAGATATGACCTAGAACAAATAAATTATAGTACAATAAGACTATTTTTTATAGATATGTAGGCCTAATCTGTGAATAGCTGGCATAGCTAACAAAATATTTGCTGAGTAAATTCCTTTACAGCTGATTCATTTATCCTAATGCGGATCATTATCTTAACAAGAGAGGGTTATAACAGTTTTTGTTTAAAGAGGGCTACAATTATGAACAATACCCACTCAAGATCTTATTGGTATCATCATCATGGATCTAATCAAATGCCAGTAGGACAGAAGAATAAAGAATATGTTGAAAGTGTCTCGATTTAAATTTACCTACAATAAACTTAATATTTCAGCTTCCGAATAGAGCTTTATGTTTTATGTTTATTTTTCACAATTTAATGAAAGTCAAATGTTTTAGTAAGGAATATATGTCTTTCTTGAATTGCTATAATATAAAATCATAGATAATTTGTTGAGTTCCAAAAGGGCAAAAACTTTTTGTTAAAGTATACAACTTAAAAATCCTTTTGGCTCCATACAGTCAGACAATATCACAATGTTAAACATTCTTGTCACTGTCATATTCTGAAATTTTCACAAATTAATTTGAGCTGAAGATGGCAAAATAATGAGATGGTTACCTGGTGTCCCTGTACTGGCCGATACACCAGGGTCCAATGAGTCTATGTCAAAGCTCATGTGTACTGGACGCGTTCCTCTGTGGACAAAAACGTTCCGGAAAAGAATACAAAATACAAATATTAATACCGATAAGAATATAAAATAAACATCCCATGTACAACCCCTCAAACAAAATTATCTAAGAAATACAATAAAACCACATGTCACTTGTCACAGACATTGTCCCCATTTAATGCAATCTATCTTATCTTTGTGGTAACTAATTATATTGACCTATGCCCATGTGACACTACATCAGAAATGGTCCATCTACACATGTGATATTAGTACCATACTGACAGCAAAACACCTCACATGGCTACTTACATTGTATTCCAAATATAACAATAGTATCATACATTTAAAATGTAAACATCACTTGGCACTATGCATTTTACTGATTCCCTTTAAAAAATTGACCAAAACGCAATTATATATCACCACTGCATCAGATGCATCTAAGTTGCAATTCTACAAATATGAATAAATGGGGTCCCAACATAATAACAAATTGACAGAAGTACTTGACCTTTAAATGCCTAACCAGAAAAGGATTTTTCTAATAAATAGTGCATATAAAGGTATCACATTTCAGGGAAAGAGTAGATAAGTTAAATCTCTCAATGTTTTGTTACATCAGAAACAATTCATTCTTCATTTTACCTTGGTGACATTTAAGATAATAAACCAATCAAGATTCTGTTTATCTCTCTATGGTGACGCCCACTGATGACACGCTGAACATGTTTTCCTTAAACCAGTCTTTATATCATGACTAGAGATATCTTGGAATGGGCAAGGGGGTAATCTTAAAAGACAAAGCTTCACGTACCATCTTTGGAGACGAGGCATAAAAACAGCTTACAACTCGAACTTCATATCGGTATTACCAGGGGCATTGTTTGTGTGCCTATATCCCTATACCTGCAGAAATTCATACTATTGACAGATGTATATCACTATTTGTCTTACCTTGGGTTAATCATGTCCATAGCCCGAGCATACACCTCTGCCACACCATACTTCTGAACCTCATGAATCGAAAATATTTTGATTCCATGCTTCTCTAAGATATATCTGGATAATGGATGAAAGATTTAAAGATGAAGACTAATTATATAGGACAAAACTCCTCAAATCCCCATCCCCCCAAAAAAAAGTTTAAGGGGACTCAATTTAATATGAAAGAGAATATAATGTAGCATGAGTACATATGTTTTTTTTATGGACGCACGTCTCAACAAACTTTCATTCACAAAATTTAGATATTTTGTAGTCAATAAAATATTTGTAGTATGATACAAGATATATTTCAGATAATAATTCAGTGATTATGAACTGTTAATATGCAAAGAGTCATGAACTACAGATATAGGCCTGTCTTTCCTATTGATCTAAAACATGTATTATATTTATTTATCTATTTATTTATACTAATCTTTTGTCAGGGTAGCCCATTCACCAAGAAGTAGTGGTCTTCCATGGGGCCCTGACTAAACACGAATATAATACATTAAAAGTATGCAAATACAGAAAAAATGTTTCATGGTATTATTTAGTTTTCAAAAATTGTTGAATGGAATTTGTTGAAAAGAAAGAATAAAGATTTTTAAAATATTGTGACATTCATCTTTTTTAAAGTCATTTAGAAATATTCCTTAATTCTGAACTGTAGAGATAATGAGTGGGTGAAAGAAAGAGACGGAGAAATGGTCACTTACCTCTCTCCTACATCCACATCCCTCAGACCAATGTAGGCAATATCTTTACAGGAGATACAGGAATCCAACCAATCAAAGTTTGGAAGCTTAGGCAAGTAATGGCGCAGTTCATGACACACAAAGGAGAGCACCATGCCGTGTATGTGCCCGGACGGAGATGCCTGAGGAAGGTTAATGTCGGCATGGGCGTCGACCCACAGGACGCACAGGTCCGGTCTTGAGCGGGTGTGGCCATGGAGGGAACCGATAGTGATGCCATGATCTCCACCAAGAGTTACACAAAGCTGGTCCTGTTTGGTGATGTCTTCAACTCCTTTGGAAATCTAGGGATCAAGATATATAACCAATATATTCAGCATTTCTACAAGAACTTCAATGATCCTTCAGGCATCTGTGACTACTTTAAAACCTTTGATGAGACAATGTGTAATGGTGCATCTTTATAAGAATTCCTCTTAGTGTATGCCAGATTTGCAGCAACACTTACGTGTATTTTAAATTATATATATAAAATACAGCAAAATTGTAATACAGATACTAAAGAACAAACAAAAATACAAGACTATAAAGAGAAATGGTATATATCATTTGATTTTCTGCAACACAGATTTTGATGAGAAACAATTATAAAGGAGGGGGGGGGGGGTAATGGCATCTTTAAAGACAGGAAAATAGTGATATGTAAGGTTTGACTGTAGTACCTTTTTGAGTGCTTTACCAAGGAATGCAGCATTTTTGACACCATTGACTGTAGCTGTCTCCTCATCCCCTGCAGGGAAGACAAGGTCTCCATGATCGATAACCGTATGACCTGAAAAGAGAAAGAAAATGCTTAAAGATAAAGTTGAGTTCTGGTCATGCGATTGTATAATGAAAGAAAAGTTGTGGAATGGATCAAAAATTTGATCATGTAGCATGTAAGTATTGGTGTGTACTGCAAGGTTCTGGAGTCATCAAAATCATAATCAATTTGGCCCAGTCTAGGTAAAGCAACAAGCACTGTACACAGAAAGATGTATATGGGACTACACAAATGGTGTCAGGCCTTACTTACCTTGATTTCCTTATCTTTCTATGCTCATTAATCAGCCAGTATACATTTTCTACCAAAATTGTTTGGCAAATGACATTTTAAATGTTATTTGTAATCTTGAACATTCAGTGTAAGTTTTGTTTGATTCTGTGAGAATTCTTTTTTTTTGTTATACCAGAACTCAAGTTTATCTTTAAGATAGCTCATAGAGCATTTTAATCAAATGAGCATGAACAGGTTGACGTATTTACCCATTGCCTAGGGGCACTACAGGTCCCTGGGCAAAGCCTATTGAAATAAGAGAATTCAGTTGCCTTGTTGACATGCTTTTTGTTAGCATTTTTGTCATATCTGCTGGTATTATACCATTCCCTTAGAGTAGAGATCTGTATTCAAGCTAGGGCCTTTGGGAATACTTCATTCTCTAAATCATGTGAATAAACAAAATTTTGTTTTCATCAGTCAGGGCTTCCACATTTATATTTTCATATAAAACTTGTAAGGTACGGTTGATTAAAAAGGGATAGGGGGAGATAAAGATTAAACATTACAAAATAGTGAATTATTTACATGCCACAATTTGACAATCTCAAGAATATTTGCATTGGTCTTGGGTTTGTTTGAACAACTGAAAGCTCTTAGAGTAAAAATATATTACAATGAACTTTAGTCCAAGATCCACATGTAGAGCCTTCAACACAAGACTTGCCAATCACATGATCTTGGTCTCATATCACATGGTTTCCAACCCTCATAGATATACAGCTGTGGCAAACCCCAATAATCCATTTGTCAGATTACTTTTATTCAAATTAATGAGAAGCACCACACGGTTATTTACAATTTTATCAAGGTGACATAAATTTTCTAATCAAGTGGAATAATTACTGTAGTGTAAGCAATGATGAAGTGATGAACAATTCAATTCCCAAGCAAGGGTCTATTACAGTCATACTTTGTTCCCTTTGTAAAGATCTATACTCCCTGTCAACTTGATTTTAAAGGTACTATGTCCCATTTGCAGGCTCAAAAAATGAAAAGGTTAAATTCCAACAGAATTTGAAAGATAATACTAATTTAGAACTTCCCTAAAAAATGTGAGGCTTGAAAATGTCTTCAAGTGGGAAGATAATGACCATTAGTTGTCAAATCGACTTAGGAGCTATAGAGCCAATAAGTAAAAGTCTTGATTTTCAGACCATTGTACGGAATGGTCATACGTTTTATGCTGCGCAAAGATTTAATCAGTTTAATTTTGGCCATCACAAGAAGTGGGTTATTGATGTAGACAAAATGCTCATGTACCCTTTACAGCTTATTTAATGTATATTATTACCAAAGAAGAAAAAAAGCCAGTCAGTCACTCAATAGTGTCTGACAGTGAAGCCTAGCAAGTAAACAGGTTTCCTTGAATAATTTGAATATTAGGACACTGCGAACGTTTAAATTTCACAGATAGGACATACATGACATATTCATAATTCCTGCAAAGTTCTATAGAATTTGAGGTTGGCTGCAAAAGGGACATAGTACCTTTAAGCTTACGCATCCACTATGTTCTGAGTCAATGTGAATCTTGTCGATACAAATATATGCGGATAAGAAAAAACAAAATGATTTTGGAAAGGGGAAAGACATCAATATTGGAAATTTAAAATTTGTAGCATCTTATTTTGATATCTTACCAAGATCTTGAATGGATGATATCAGCCCAGCATCTCTTAACACTGTAGGCCCATATACAACACCATCTTTGTCCTAGTGAAGAAAAGAATAATTATGAGCAATGAAGTCTGATGTGGACAGCAGTATTTTCGTTTTTTTTAAATTAATGTCTAAACATCCAAAAAGCCCTTATCACATGCCTTTTCATACTTCCTTCTTCAACTACATGTGTACTTCTCTAGACAGAAAAATCTGTCTGCTTGGAGCAGTTTGTTACATATTTGTACTTTTGGCATCTGTAAAGCCAGACAGTCAGTGGAACATATACCCAAATAAAATGCTTCTCTCCTTCATCCCTCCTTCTTTGTCTACCCTTCTCTTCCATCTTCTCCTCTTTCCCCTCCTCTCCATTTTTCTTTTTCATCTCCTCCTACTTCTCCCTCTCCTCCTTAATTTTTACCTCCTTTTAACTCTTCCTTCCTCTTTCTTTTCCGCCTCTTTATTCTCTACCTTCTCTATTATTTCTTTGTTTTTTCCTTCATTGTTATCATTATTTTTTATAGCAATTATTCAATTAAATAGTGAGTATTTTTACCTGGCCCTTATTGATTGGTACTCCTAACACTCCAATACTTTGAAGTCTTGATGCCATACTCGCATGACGGACTGCTTTATGACAACCAGAAGACGTTCTTCTCATCCAACTAGATACTAGTCTGGAGCAACACTGGGTAATATTCAAAGCCATCTTGTACGATTATCAAAACATCCAGTGGTACCTGTGAAAAATACAATGGTACGGTAGTTGCAAGTTACAAAAATCATAACACTATAGTAGTGAGCATGGTGAGTAACAAATTCAGTTTGATTCTTTCCTTTAAATTACAATCATAAGTCTGCTGGTTTAACTGAATCTACAAAGTTATCTTAGCTAAGCATACAAGTGAATCATCCTTAGTAGCGGTACACCCTTTCTGCTTTTATGTAAGTTACATTGAAAATGATAAATTCCAGTAAATTAAAAACAACTGCACATAGCTCAGCTCCACCATCATCAATGGAGCGGCCCCAACACATCATCTAGCTGACTAGCACTTTAAATTGTTGATGTAACATACCTACAATTAAATCATGGCCAGTAATAAAGTGTATACACTTTTTCTACTTTAATAATGTTTGCCTGCCGATAACACACAGGCACAGATCTATACTGTACAGTGTACAGCCTATGACGAGTGCAGCTGACGATGCGATGATTATTTATCACGAATGACCTGCATGCATCGTACCACTAGAAACTACGATCAACTAAAAGTAAATGAAAATGGATATGATTAAGCACTCACATTTATCACATGTAGATAGATGCGTTTTTGTCAATGCGATTCACTCTATAGTCTCGTACAGTATATATCATGTGTCTCAGCTCATGCCATGCCGTTGCTTTTCAGCATCTAAAGAAATATCTATTATTATAATACGCATCGGCACACTTTGTGGTCACGACATCATCAGCGACTATTAAGCAAAACAGGAAACCGCTCGCGCATTGCATCATGAGAACGATGCCTAGCCGAGGCGCTGCGCTAGGGCGGAGCGGAGGCGGTGACCGGTGACATAGCGGTGGCCATTGGCCGTGGTGTGGAGCGGACGCTCGTACAAGAGAGCGTGTATGTCATTGGTCATTGATCAACGTGCCCCCGACACACCTCCTTATTTTGTGGTTTGAGGCGTCGGCGCGCCGAATCAAATGTCCTTCCTATATTTACTTCTTTTATTGAATTGCAATTATACTTATGATGCATTACATCTTTTGAAACTTAGAAATGTGCCGCACTTTTACATTGAAATATTACATGCATGGTACCTCATTAAAAAATAACACATCAGTTTAATTTCATGACCAGAACAACATTTTATGGTACAATCAAAATATTAATAAAAAGAAATGTTATTTTATGAAGAATAGTATAAAAATGGTAATGATGGTACTTTTGTTTCAGTAAATGAACGATATATCCGTCTTAAAACTAAACGAAGCAAACAATTTTTGATTTTTGACTACCGGTATACAAAGCTACAAAAGTCAATTATAAAAGCATAGGGTACCTTTAGGATTCAAAGATCATAATTTCATTTATCCCCCACATTTGTTTTAAATTTATTTATTTAAAAAAAAAATTTTTTTTTGGGGGGGGGGGGGAGGGGGGGTTAGCAGTTAAGCCTGTTGGCCATTTGAGTAGTAAACAATGGAATAATATGATAAGTTTTTTAACAAATTAGAATAAAGAAATGTTTGTATTGGGAAAATGTCTTGCAGAAGGACGTAAACTGGTCCCCTGTTTGGGTGTAATTGTTTGCTTGCGAGTAAGCAAAAGTTTTAAAATTTGAGAGGTCGCATTGCGAAAAATTCCATCTATAAAGAGGAAAAAAAATCCTGATGGAATTTTAAGCACAATCTAATCATGAAAGACTGAAAAGAAACATAACTATATCGAAATGCGAGCAAGTATAGCGAGTGAGCTTTGGGTAAAATAAAAGAAAAAGTTGCTCTTAGTTGCTTTAATTTAGGAGCGCATTTTGATGGTGAAAAGAAAAGGGGGCAGGGAAAAGGACGCTCATTATAGAAGGAAAGGAACACGTGGGGAATTATCAGAGGTAAAAATGAGGCACTTCTCGCATCTGATAAAAGGCACTCATCAGATATGAAAAGGGCACTTATGGGAAAGAGGCACTTATGGGAACAGGGGCACTTTTTACATAGGAAAAGGGGCAATTATCAGAAGGCAATTGGCACTAATTAAAAAGGATAAGGGGGCACGTGTCAAAATAAAAGGGAATGGTATTACAAAGTTAAAGGGGGCACCTCTCAAATTTGAATTAGGGCACTCACCGGAGATAAAAGGGGCATTTATAAGAATGCAAAGGCATATAAAGGAAAAGAGGCACTGTCAAAATATAAGGGACACTTCTTAGATTTGAAAAGAGGTAATAAATGAGAGGTAAAGGGGCACTTATCAGAATTGCTAAAGGGCACTTCTTGTACTTGAAAAGGGGCACTCACCTGAGATGAATAGGGCACTTGTGAGAATTGAAAGGGGTACTTTTACGAAGAAAATGAGCACTTGTCGAGGAAAAAAGGGGCATGCACCTAAAACGAGATTTTAGTATAGCCATTTATCATAGGTGTCTGAAAAGGCTTTTATGAGAGGGGAAATGGATCTTATTAAAAAGAAAAGGGGCAATTCTTGAAGAAAAAAGGGGGCACGTGACAAAATAAAAAGGGGGTAGTTATCAGAAGTGACAAGGGGCGCTCATCAAAGATAAAAACAGGCACTTATTATAGGTGAAGGTAGCATTTATCAGAGGTAGTAAGAGGGGTAAGGGGGCACATTTTCCTATGTAAAAAGGGGCATTTAAGAGGTACTTAAAAAGCGGGGGGCACTGTGCCCCCCTGACCTCCGGGTCCTCAGCTTCTGCTGGGATCCATCCATAACGCGGATCTCTCAGTCGTCTTCTAAAGACAAACGTAGATCCAGGGCTTCAGAAAGGGAGGGGCCGTTAAACAAAAAACGTCACATATATTTTAAGGATAATTTTTTTTTGTATGTTCTTGTGTTAAATAAACCCAAAATGTGGATTCTATTTCAATAAATTTAAACTATTGCCGTCATCCCGATCCGTTGCGAAACGCTTGTGAAGAGATCTATAGAAATGGGGGGGGGGGGTGAAATTATACCGAGTTTTAATATTTATAGTTCGAGGCAAATTAATATAACTTATATTAAACATTGTATAATCATATTTGACGAGAGGGGCTTCCCTAACACAAAAATGTATGGATGAGACACTTCCATCCCAAAGTAAGCAGGGAGGCGGGGGGGGGGGGGGTAGCCGTATTTGTATGCACTAAGATGTTCCTACCCCCCCTCCCAACAAAAACAAAATAAATAATAATAATAATATTGATAATAATGAGAAGAATGATAATAATAATGATAATAATAATAGTAATAATTAAATAAAATTAAAAAATATAATTAAAAATTTAGATAAAAATAAGATTAAAAAAATTATAAAAAATTAATTAATCTCTATCTCTCTCTATCTAGCTATCTCTCTCCTTCCATTTCTCTCTCTTTCTGTATCTCCTTCTCTCTGTTCTTTTCTTTTCTTCCTCCTTTCATTTGCTCTGTACCCTTTCTTTTACTCCATTATACAGCTACCCATTCCCGTACAAATTTTAACCAGGGTCACGATGCTATCAGTGGCGGATCAAGGATTTTCGGGATGGGGGGGGGGGGGGGGGGGGGGGGGAGGGGTGCAAATCTGAAAATTGTCTCAGAAGCATAAACATAAATATGGTGTGCCTTCATCCAGTCTGTCCCAGTCGTGGGGCACATTAATGGAGACCACACTTTCTTGTCATACTCGATGTGTACTGAATATTATGCCAGATTAGTTTGGTGGGCAAGTGCCCTGCGCACCCCCCCCCCCCCACCCGATCTACCACTCACTTTAAAATCACCGAGATCGATGCTCATGGGCGTGGATGTAATTAGCGTTAAATAAGCGAAACGAACTCGGAATATTGACCTTTATGGATTGGTCATCATTATCTTCTTGACATTTCAAGTCCCTTTCGGTTGTGACATGCGCAGACTGCTCAAACGATCTTCTCATTAGGCGGTACTTCCGAATCCGCGTTTTATCATCACGAGGAGGAACCGCCCATCTCATCGTCCAATTAATTGATTCGATTTTGAGCATACTATAAGCCATCCCAACGACATCTCGGCCAGAGTGCTTGGAGTTTCCCCTGATTATCGACGCCTTCATCACCATTTCAATCTGCACTTGAATGACTGACTAATTGTTTCATAGCCTTTGCTTCTCAAGGCCGAGCGTTGTCTATTCTTGATTGACGAATCGGTTGTATAGACATTAGATCATTATTTTGAAAAGACTGCTCAGACTTGTAAGAAATTTGAAATCGGGGTATGGGAATATTTCGTCGTCATTCTCTGACTAATTTACCAAAGGACGCCAAGAAAACTTGCATTTGACTTGCTGCAATATTTACACCTGGAATTCAAATCAATTTGTTTGGCGTCGAGACAGACCAAACTGAAATATTGCATTATAATTTTGATATTTTTTATCAAGTAAACGTTCTTTGAGATGCCTAAATTCATTTATATGATTTGATAAAAAGAGACCCTTGTAGTTTGATTATTTGCTGTATTAATCCAACCTTGTGCAATTGGGGGTTCGAAAAATTACAGAAAAGGGTTCATTACTACTTGACAGAAAATGGAAGTTCCACTTGATGAGGAAGAGAAGCCTTTATCACCAGAGAAGCCTTCATCACCAGAGAAGCCCAAAGCAGTCCTGGAGAAGCCCAAGGCCCTAGTCAGGGAGATGACTAACGATATCCTCGTCAAATCATGGCGTACGGTTGTTCAAAGCTTTTGTAAATCAACGACGATGCATGGAATGAGTCGGGTGATAGATTCGACCAGAGCAATCTTCCGTTTAGCATGGCTTCTCACCGTACTCACCTTCCTGTGTGTCCTCATGTGGCAGGCGTACCGTCTCGTCGATGAGTACAGGGGAAACCCGACAACGACAACCATCCAAATGGTGACCAATAACAAGCTCTCCTTCCCCGCCGTCACCGTCTGCAACATGAACAGGCTACGAAGGTCAAAGCTGGTAGGTACGCGGTTCGAACCTCTCTTGGATATAGACCGACATGTCACTATTTTGAATCTTGGGCTGGATGATGGTGAAATTGAAGTGGATGATCACGCCGAACCGTCTCCATCACTAACACCAGCAACCACCACGTCAACGATTACGACTACAACCGCATCTCAAGTGACAACAAAAAGTACGAGTGTACCTCCTAATGACGAAGACTTAGTGTCTTCAACTACCGTTGAAGGTTTGGAAATGTCGTCGACTAAAGATACCCCGTTGGTCGTCGACGTTGATAACCCTGATGCTCGTCGTCGAAAGCGTAGTGTTAACTGGCAGACGACGAACAAACGTTTATCATCACTACGTCAAATGAACAATGTCCCTGCTCCCGCCATTCCATTGATTGGTGCTCCAGTGGAGAATGATGATTCAAACTGGGGATATCTGCTGCAGTTGTCGGAATCTGATGATTTTCAAGATTTTATAGGATCGGTGAATCCATCTAAAGGAGAACTTCGTAAACTAGGTCATCAAGCAGAAGAGTTTATTCTACAGTGTTCATTTAATCAGCATTATTGTGATTACAGGTAAGAGAAACCAACCAACCTTTTAAAAGAGTGTCATGTCTTGTTATGATTATGATTGATTGTGGTAGTTGTTGGACAGGTGCGTTGCCATCTTGAAAGGTGTGTCTTTAGACGTGCTTCAATATTTAGCTCAAGAAAAGGGATACAAAAGCACATGTTTAAAATGACATTTGCAATCGACTAATAGCTTTTATAAGACAAGTAAATAAAATAAAAAAATTTAGAAGAAAAAAAAATGATCGCAAAGCTCTTTAAATGCCTCAAACTTATAATGAAAGCATCTCTCTCTCTCTCTCTCTAAGATCATAACGATACAAATCCATAGTTTTTTTGTTTTTATTAACAGATATTGACAAATATACTGTTAGTCCGTTGTTTCTCTTTTTCGGTAATTCTCATATGTATTTTCGTATTTTTGTATTACGTTGGTTTTGGTTATTTTACCTGACTGCTAAGAAAGCGTGTGTATGATTGTAGGTAAGCAACCAGGGGACCGACCGCTTTAAGTCCTCTCCGAGGGAATTGTGACTTATCGAAAGGCAAGAGGCACTAGCGCATCGACTTGGTTTCGAACTCGACACCTCCTGGGTTCGAGAACACTGCTCTACCACTGAGCCATTGCGCCTCCATTTGCAAACAACCATGTAAATAGAAATAATATTGCTCCAAAATGCATATATATTTCGAGCCAATGAATATTATTTCTTTTTAAAAATCACCCCTTTGGTTACTTAAAAAAAACACGTCCGGACAACCTAAAAAATAAAGATATGCTTCGTGTTTGAACATCATAGCACTCCTTCAAATCTTCACATCAAATGGCTAAAGCGTTTTCGTTCTTAAAGTCGAGTTATAAATTAGAACAATTTATATCAAATCTGCTTTAAAAAATCACGCTGGTTTTGTTTTTTGCCATAATAATTGCATCTTTTGATAGTTTTTATCTTGATTTTCTGCATTTTTGAATGTTTCTTGCCATCTCCCCTTATCTGTAATGATAAGGACCCCCTTTGTCCGTCTCTTTTCCCCTTCATCTCTCTGTCTCTCTCTCTCTCTCTCTCTGTCTCTCTCTCACTCTTTCGCCCCTTCTCTCTCTCTCCTTCTCTCTCTCTTTATATATTTATCTCTCTTTCATCACTCCAACTCTCCCTCTCCTACACCTTACCCTTTCTCTTTCTTTTTTAACAAAAATTTGAATTCGATCAATTAATTTTTATGAAATGTCTATATGTTTGATTTGTTATTTATGTAATATTTTGTGTTATTTAAATTTGAATTGTAATTGTATTGTATCTTTGTGAAATGGATCGCAATTCAGCCATTGGCTGCGATGATCTTTTAATAAACCATTTCTATTCTATGCTATCTTAGAAATTTCACGACGACTCACAATTCACAGTATGGAAACTGTTTCACCTTCAATCGGCCGGCTGAAAACAATTCCGTTTTGCAAACAGGAAAGATCGGCTCCAGATTTGGTACGTCATGTCATTAATGAATGCACTCCTTCTCATACGTTACTTGCTGGAATATTGATACTTTCATGACTTTGACAGAATGATACAAATACAAATTTGAAAAGAAAATATACGTTTCATGTCATCATCAAACACATTTGTTCACTTTACATTCTATGTTTTTTAAATATTTTTTGTACGACTGTATTCCAATCATTTTGAGTTATCATGTAATCATTTAATATTTGTTTAATGATCTGACAGAATGTTCAACAAAATAATGTTTTAATCCCTCTTCAAAATTTATACCAACCTTTGCTTCTTCTTCAAATTACAAAAATGCTCAAGGAACATGATAAAAATCTAAGTTCACCTGTTTATCTGGTAATATCGATATTCATAAATTGTTCGCATATCTTTGCTTCTATCGAACATTATTATAACTGATTTACAGAACTGTTTTTAACTGACGAGTAAAACTAGTATGCATGTATAGATGAACGTCGTTTTCCTTTCTGTATTTAAATGTCGCCTGACAGGCCTCCACCTGACCCTGTTCACGGACCAATCAGAATACATCGGTCTCCTGTCTCACCAGTCTGGTGTACGCGTTGCTATCCATGAGCCTAACGCCCGCCCCTTCCCTGAAGATGAAGGAATCACGGCTTCTACAGGCACGCTAACATCCATTGGACTACGACTAGTGAGTCATTTTTTCTTGTTAACATTAAGTTAAATCTTCAAAGAGTAAATGAAGAGAGGCAAGCTAAAATTCTTACAGTTCCCGAGAAAATATTCGCTTCAGTCTTAATAGGCCTATGCCTTCTCTAAAGAGATAAACGATATTAAGAAGAAAGAAGAAATAATATCATTAAAACATGATAAATAGCGATGTATAAGATTGCATTGTATTGATATTAATTTTGTCTTCTTCAATAAGTTCCTTGAACCAAGTTTTAAGTATATGAAAGAATTTCGGCCTCATGACTTTGTAGATAACACGAGAAATTAAAAATACTTTTTCATGTGGCGTATCATGCACTTCCTGAATAGTAAAGGAGGTTTGGGGATGTGGAAAAATAATGCGCGGCAGAAATTGGAAAACGAATAGAATGAATGAGCTATAAACACCATATTTCCTGATCTGCATATTCAAGTATATTTTCACGCCACCGAATGTGCATCTTTGAGAGATTATAACAATTTCTGGTTTTGATAATACTCGAGTTTAAGAAAATCGCGGTAAAAGGAGACCAATTATCGTCATCATCCTTTTAATATTCAAGGTCAATATACCAGACTGCGACGATCCCATATCGAATCGGATGTACCCTTAAGATGCCCCCTACTCTAATTGATTGGCTCTCTCTTCATATTTGATGAAGTGCATGATTCGTGCATATAACCCATCTTTACTGGTCTGTGGATGTTAAATCATTGCTTTCCGCTTGGTATAGGGACGTGAGTCTCATCAATTAAATCACAAATGACTCCACTCCCTATCTCTCTTTCTTCCGACTTTTCATCAAAATTATGACTCAATATATTTATTGCTTATAGCCTTTTTCTTCTAAATTACCAATATACTCGTAGGCCAGCTATTCAATTTGGTACAATAAAACACGGTGGCGATTAAAATATTGTCTATAAATCTGAAAGTGCTTGAAAAAGCATATTCGAGATTTTCATCTTTAGTTTACCCTGCTTTAAACATCCCTTCTCATCACCCCCTTTATCTTAATACCTTTACATTTTGCTTTTTGTTTTCATTTTGATTTTCTATTAACATTAATTTTTCTCTCAATAAGTCATTGTGCTTTTTTTTAAATTCTTTATATCAACTTTTCTCCTTCTATCCACTCATGAAAATAATTTTTACCGAGAAGTACCCCAGTGTTATACGTTTAGGGTAGTTATTATATTATTGCAAAGCCTTTTATGTGTTATAGTCTTTTGTATTCAATTTCTCAGCGGAATATAACCAGACTGAGTGGACGTTACAGCGATTGTCGTAAGAAGAATCGTGGCGACCCATCCGAGTTTACTCATGATTTTGACTACTCGTTACGAGCCTGTCTGAATGCGTGCTACCAGGGAAAGCTCCGGTATGAATGCGGCTGTGTAAATGACGTCATGGGGAACACTACAATATGCAGTACGCTGGATCGAAGACAAGGTAAATGATGCATCTTATCTTCCAGCATTTTTCTTGATGGTAGATCCAGAATTACTCGATAAGTAAATGAAAAGAAAAAAAAAGATAAGAAAAGAAAGAGAACAGATATCGCATTTTCACATACATCTTATCGTCTAAAATTGCAAGAGGATGTAATTCATATTTGGGGTATACCTAAAGTATGCAATATGTGGTTATGGACACGTGCCCCCATGTTATCCCGCCCCACCCCCTACCCTGGATCCGCCACTGTATTTCAGTTACCAATATTACCAGGTATAATCTTGAGAACATGCAAACAAACAAAATCTAAAAGACATTAATATTGTGAATGTTTCATATAAGAGTTAAAAACATCTATATTTAATAAGTTTTCATAATTTGTACATGCAGGGCCTTACAGGTTTTATGAGAGTTATTAATTTGTGCTATTGAACAAATCGAATAAGTTTTGATGGTTGTAAAAATAGTTTTCATTGTTCGATGACTTGTTGTATTTCTCACATTTCGTTAACTACCAGCTTGTTATTATTTTAACTGAATAGCTTCACTGCGTTTAACTGACAATGTAGGAGAAGAACATCGTAATTTTGTACCTGTTTCTATTTCATTTTGTTTGTCAGAGGCATGTCAGCGGAGAGTAGACCAGATGGCAATAGATGACAAGTTGGGCTGCCCATGCGTCTCACCTTGCAGGTTATAAACGAATTCCAACATTATTCCTACATACCCATCACGCAAAAGAGCCACCCCTCCCCGTTTCCAACACAATTTTTAACTGTCCGGGGAAAAAATAAGTATAAAATATCTTCCAAAAATCAAGATATGTCGGGAACATAATTCTTTTTTTTTCTCAACAGAGAGAGAGAGAAAGAGAGAGAGAGAGGGAGAGAAAGATAGAAAAAAGGGTGTGTGTGAGAGAGAGAGAGAGAGAGAGAGTGAGGGGGGGGGGGCAAGTTTTGTGTATGCTGATGGAATTCCTGAAATTATAGTCCCGTAATTTCTTATAATCATGAATCCACTCCTGCATAGTCTCATAGTTTCATCCTTTTACATGTTTATTCTGTTCTTTACGATCGAAAAGGATTGCCTTTACGACCTAAACGATTTTATACCAATTATCTTTTCTTAATCAAATGGGCTAAGATTATCAGCAGCATAATAAATTAAATGCGACCAGTTAGATGATATACAAATAAAGAGTCGAATCTTTCTCTTTTTGCATGTCATTTGTCATTTCTGTTTAATTTGCATAACGAGGATATGAATCTCTTTATATTTTCCTGATATTACAAACTTTCTTGATTCTCATAATTAGTTTTTGTTCAATCTAACCTTACTGTCATATTATTCCACAGCGAGATCGACTATGAGAGATTCGCATCATTCTCAAAATGGCCAACGGAGAGCGCTGACGTAAGTATTTCTTTTAGAGAGTTTGTTTAATAATAATAATGATAATAGTTCGTTCTTTTATAGCGCATTTCACGACCGAAGGCCCTCTCAAAACGGGCATAATTTGAATATACACTCGTGTTTCGATAATATTTATTTAGATTTCATCATCGTTTGAAACAACAAATCTTTTAAATATCTCAAAGGAATTAAACCAACTTTAAATTCTGGGGAAAGTGGTGCAGACTATAGTGATGAAATAAGTGCCATGAATGACGCGGTTGTTGTTTTTGTCGTTTCACTCTGAGGTAGACGGGCTATTAATTTAATTTAGGGCGAGAAATTGTGTTTCATTATGTTATACAATACTACATCATTATCAAACATCTTTGATAAAAATTGTTGATATCATAAAGAGCTTTATGTATTATATTTGATTGGTATTTGAAGGCACATCTGAAGAAGAAGCTTAACAAGCGAAACCGAAAGGCTGGGAATATGACCATGGACGCATCGTTTAGAAGGTAACCATACTATCATCTCTCTCTCTCTCTCACTGTTTCTTTGATTTTAATCGTCCTCAAATTTGTATCATGATATCGGTATAAAATTCTAGCTTAGTCCTTACTTCCCACTTTACTGATATACACCTACTCTGTTGGTTAAAACAGTTTTACATGTATTTGATAAATGCATGAATTCTCAAGAATCAACATACAGTCTAAACAAAATACTCGGTTATGCCGAAATCGCATAATTTATTGGTGCAATACAGAAATCGGCTTTTAGAAAAGTTAAGAATATTTCGTCATTTAAGCAAAAAAGCAACAAGAAAAACAAAGGAAAACAACGAACGAGCAAATAAAAAAACAAAAACATAATTTAGATATCCGACGAGGAACTTTGTTTAGTAGTTTTCAAAGTGATGAGTAATATGAAATAAATATTTACAAGTTTCTTAAATGTTCGATGCTCTTTCCAATAAACTTTAATAGATCAACGTTTAGGACTGATAAATTCGTTTGACATTTTCTCTTCCACAACCTCGAGCCTGTTGAGCGTGGATCCATTCTAACGTATGCATGCTTGTTTTCAGAAAAAATTTGGTTCGTGTAGAAATCTTCTACGAGAAGTTGAATTACGAAGCGTACACTCAGATGCCCAAATACACGGTAAGAAGGTTACCTTGCTACCATAGTTCGTTTGTCTCCATCACACGCTATATTGCTTATTTTGTTCTTTAAAAATGTTTTGAATGTTTTCTTTCTTTCAAAGCGTATCTCAGTTAGAAAAAGAGAAATAGCTAATAAAGATCATTGACAACTGTTGTGTTTAAATAAGCGGGTATGATTTCCATGAAACTTTTCATATAAAGAGAAACATGCTATAGATCCCAAACAAGTCTTTTAGTCTGTTTATCACATGTTCATCATTGCTCTACTGTGAAGGAAGAAATGGAATCACAGACCATCCATCACCCTTAGAATTTGACTTTAAAAAAAAAATTGTTTGCATTATTCAGCGGCATTTATGAAATATGATAAACGAGCTTTATACCTTTATAGGCCTACACATGCATCATTAGAATAAAGAACCACCAAAAGTGCTAAAACTAGTAGTGGAATTTTTTTGCAGAGGAATTGCTTTGTATCATCGACTCATAACCCTACGCACATTCCTCTCTCATGTTCTCAGTTTGGCAGTCTACTTGGAGGCATTGGTGGTATCATGGGGTTCTTTGCTGGTATGTCTCTCATCACTGTCTTCGAGCTATGTGGGTTCATCATCCAGCTCCTCGGGCTCCTATGTGGCCGACTGACCACGCCCATGCCCGAAGAGGCCGCCACGGAGGGGGGTGAACCTGCCCCTCCCCATCCCGAGTCACGCATTGGTAGGGTAGGACGTCGGTTCACCAAGGTGTTCAGCCATCATCCTCATGCCCATGGACATGGAGGGAGCGCTAGAGCTCGACAAACCGACCTGTGAATTTAGGATTATCGTAGAGACTAACCAACTAGAATTTAATGTATCGATATATCAAAATTGAGGAAATTGGTATTGAAAATTGTGAACAACTATCAAGGCATCGAGAGATTCTACAAAATAAAATGTGATCTAGAAGAGAAATACTTAATATTTGTACGATTTGCCTTGATGTTGATAAATATTATGTGCATATTATACATTTATGTCCATAATCTAGTATATATTATCTAGCAGATCGAATATCAATGTAAAATGTAATCATTGCTTCATTATTGTGATAAAAGTCGAACGCATTGCCTTTTTTTAACCTGCTCTTGGTGTTGCCCAGCCTCTTTGCATATTTGTATCGCTAGCATGTCGTTTTTACTCATTATATATCTGTATATATCCCAATACCCGAGTATTTGAGTCATTTTGTACATTAAAATTGCGGTTCATTGGTATATATAAATATTTTGTATATCCAGAATACAGGAAAATGTAAACATACGGTAAATAATATTCCAATACTATTAACCCTAAAAAGGCCGGGCTATTTGAGGTCTTAGTACGGCCGGGGGGGGGGGGGCATTATGCCCCCCCTTAAGAACTCAGCCGCGAAAATTTTCACGCATGTCAAGTGAAGTGTATAGAATAATATGATAATTTCAATTCACTCATTTGCATATTTATGGTAATTCATGCAAATAAAGTCATAAAAATCAAATTTTTACCCATAAATCATATGTTATTCATATTTAAGCGTTCTTTTTTCACTACATATATTCATTAGACCATTCTGAATAATAATACGACAAAAAAATTCGGAAGAGCCAACTTATTCCTTATGTTATCCCTTGTATTGATAATTTCTTATGTATTTCATTTTTTTTTTTTTTAATTTCATTTCTTACTACAATTCAACTATTTTGACTCCCAAAACAACCACCTAAACTTTAAACAAGACCCCAATAACCCATGTTTGATCTGTTTTTAGGAAAAACGACTTTTCCATATGTTTTGTACACAAATCACGAAAATGAGCGATTTTCGGGCTGACATGCAAAGACAAAAGGTCACGTGACCTTGTAACCGTAGGTCCGATTATCAACAAAATGATTTCAAAAGTTGTGCAAGACTTAAAAGAAAAAAAATCAGCGAGCGGCGGGGCGCCATCCATATGCGTTCCCGAGCAATCGGAAAAATCGTGGAGGGGGGCATAATGCCCCCAGCCTTATTAGGGTTAAGCGGACGATTGTAAACATGGATGATCATGGCTCATCATTGTTTATTTTATTCTCTTTATCAATATTGCTATGCTTTGTTTTATTTTCACGGGGTATCAAGGGTGTCGATTTGTATCCGTGGTTGGGGGGGGGGGGGGGGGTGATAGGTGCCAAAATATTTTCGGCAATGGATCAAAGCAACCAAGAGGTAGAAGCGTGTGGCAGGTTGCACCCCTCCCCACGGGCGTAGCCAGAATGTCATTTTAGGGGGCGGTAGTGAGCACGCAAAGCGTGCGAAACACTTACAGAGTTACAGAGCGCGCGAAACGCGCTCCCTAGGGGGTTGGGTGCAGGGAGGGCCCTCCCCCGCGAAGCGCGGAAGCTTTGACGTTTCATTGTCTAATAGTTTCACTTATTAGACAAAGAAGACGATTGGTTGGACCGTTCTCGACTCTTAATTCTTGTTTGAATCAAGTTCCCCTTCCTCCGTGCGTAGCGCGGAAGCTCTGACGTTTCATTAGATTATTAAAGAAACAAGACGATTCGATGTACCATTCTCGACTCTTAATCCTTGTCTGAATTCAGTTTTCCCCCTCCCGCGCGAAGCGCGGAAGCTTTGACGATTCATTAAATTATTAGAGAAAGAAGACGATTCGTTGTATCGTGTCCTTGTCTGAGTGCAATTCGCCCCCCGCCCTCCCGCGCGGAAGCTTTGACGTTTTAATAAATGATTACTCTTAATCCTTTTCTGTATTCATTTTCGCCCATCCAGCGCTACGCACGGAAGCTATACCGTTTCATTAAATTATTAGAGAAGGAAGACGATTCGTTGTACCGTGTCCTTGTCTGATTGCAACTCGCCCCCGCCCTCCCGCGCGAAGCGCGGAAGCTTTGACGTTTCAATAAATTATTACTCTTAATACTTGTCTGTATTTACTTTCGCCCATCCACCGCTAAGCGCGGAAGCTTTACCGTTTCATTAAATTATTAGAGAAGGAAGATGATTCGTTGTATCGTGTCCTTGTCTGAATTCAGCTTTTCAATAAAACAAAAATAAGTTGTGATATAATAATCTTTCTCCAATAATGAATATTTTAAAAGGAAATATCAGGAAATAAAATGAGTGAAAAAAATTTAAAAATAAAGATACAATGACGTGAATTTTAAAAAGGGTGAAAGGAAACAACATTACAACTAGTGAACAATCTTATAAGTCATACTAATGTCCGAAAATCTTTCTTCTTGTCTCCCATCTCATCACGAATTGTCACAGAGTTCATTTATGTTTACACTGTCCAGGATTGTCTGATGTTGCAGATTGCTACTTTTGCACTTCGCGCTTAACATTTAGTTCGTTGCTTTTTAACGCTGCATCTTTGCATTTGGCGCACTGTATTTCTATGATGCTGTTGATTGAACAAAGTGAATAAATTCATCAATTCCTGATGAAGCCGTATGAGCGAAAATTCAATTTATTCTTGTCTCATATACGGTTGTCTCATTTACTTCGTATATATGTATGTATTATGAAAATGAGATAACAAAATGTGTATACTGAAGGTCATCTTGCGAGTAATAACCATTAACTACTCTCATTGGGCTCTCATCATTATTTTTCTCTTTTTTTGTTTTTGTTTTGAGGGTGGATTATTGGAGGGGATGATTGTACAGGCCACCCCCCCCCCCCCCCCACCTGAAATATTTGGGGGAAATATCCCCCCCCCCATCCCCCGGGATCGACACCCATGCGGGGTATAGACCTGTCAGTCGCAAAGCTGTTATATAATGTGTACTTTTTCTTGTTAGTATTTACCATTGTGATTATTTATTTGATAAGTCTACATGAATACCTTATGAAATATGGTGTAACGTATGATTTCCATCGCATAGTGTCACAGTATACAGTAATCTAAAATATCATTCGAAAAATTAAAGCACAATATCTTATGCTTCCAGTTTGACAAAATAGTGTGAATGTTATAATTTCATAAATAAATAAAAATCCAACGTCACATTATAAATGACCGATTATAAATTGAAATATTACGTACAAGCCTACGTTATAAATCGAAATGACATATTGATTTTTCATACACGATAGCACCACCAAACGCTATTTTATAGGACATAATTATTATCTTGATTGAAAATACTTAAATTGCAGTGGAATATAAAAAAATCCCTCTTAAAAAACCTTGACAATTGACGAACACGATGTGAAAACATGTGACCATCCACTCGTACAATATCAAATGCAGACTGATTTGTGAATTAGGGATTATCAAGTAATACATGTATACGTATTATATCATCTAGCGAATGAAAAACATCTCAACATGCATAATTCTGTTCAGTACCATCTGCCCCGTAACAAAGATTCTACAAGCTATATGCTTTTTATTAATTTCCTTTTTTTTCACATGTAATTTTGAAATTATTTAGTGCAAATGCCATACAAACTTATGCTGTGTACATGTCTTTATTGTTCACAAATATCGATTTTGTAAATATGCTATGTTTTGTTAATGTTTTGTATCTTTTCATGTGAAATAAAAGAAATTATAAAATGGCTCTAGTATTTTAAGCATCGTGATTGGTCAATACGCGTCACATGACATTGAAAAAATTTTGATGCAAGCACGATTTTGCAGAAATGAGTGCAGAAAAAGCGCAGTAAAAAGTTATATTGCACGGTGCGTACGCGTGACCATGGAGATCCAGTGCGCGCGCGTACGTGTAGTACGCGCTCCCTCGAGTTAAGTTGCATTGCAATTATTGTAGGCTACGCGTAGCTAATATTGTACGCTCCACCATGATCCCCAGCGCAACGTACGCGTAGCTAGCTCTAGCTAGCTAGCTAGAGCGGCCAGCGGGGTATTATTAAAAAGCAAATTTTTATTTTACTTTTGCCTTGGATTTAGGCCTGTTTTGACTTTTGGATTTTATAATGAAGCCAGGAATTTCAGCTGTCTGATGTAGACTCGTCTCTAGACCCACTGTCTGTATGGATTTTATTTTTAATCAAGGCAATGAATCCCATTGACTTTTTGGTAAGCCTGCAAGGTCTTTTAGTCTAATTAGAAGTAGAACCAACATAACTCTAGATCTAGATCTAGATCGAACTCTCGTAGACTCTAACTTATTAGATCTAAAGTTTCGTTTTTGCTATTTGTGTCGCTATTTTATAAAACAAATAACGCACTTGACCCTGTTGTGCAAAACGTAAATGCAGTAAACGCTCGGTTTCTTCAGATGGTTCGCACTGTCAACTCGCCGCAAGCGGCTCGTTGCACAGAGCGGCACCAATCTAAAGAAACCTCGCGCGTACTGCATTCACCGCTATTGCACTCTGGGACGTGCGTTATTTGTATACTAAACTGAAACTGAAGATTAATTATGATTGTTCAAACGTAAAAAAGACGGTAAAACAAGGTTGTTGAGTCGTCTTTATCGTTAATAAACGAATTGACATTAATAATGCAGAAACTGTGTCATATAAACTAGATTATGTTACGTGAATAAAGAAAAAATGATGATTAAAGTTACAACGTTGCAATAATAAGTTACAGAGTATATTGGGCGTCTTTAAATTAAAACTTATCAACTAGGTAAAGGGGGAGAGAGAGGGATATAAGCGAGGGAGAAGAAATGGAGAGGGCTGAGCGTGTAAATCTTACAAAGAAAGGGAGATGCGCATGAAAAGACTGTCGAAGCGTATATTGCAAAAACTGAAAGAAGGAAACTGCATCAACCGAATATTGGGAGGGAGACAGCTAGAAAAAGAAAGTATGGAAAAAAGAAGGTCTAAATAATGAGACGAACTGAAAGCTATATGAAAGAGAGAGGTGAACGCAAGAATTGGGAGTAGTGAGATTAGAGAGAAGGGAAAATGTATGATGGGGTTGGGTATCCGGACACTAATTGACAAACGTAAAGACTTCTTTTTTTTGTATTTCGATTTTACGAACAAAATATTCATCAAATATCATGGAACATCATGAAGATTTGATCTTTATAATATTTTCCAATTTAAGTCATAGAAGATATATTTATTTGGCTTATAAACTTCTTAAAAATGATTTTTTAATCAACTGTCCGAATACACAACATATCCGGACAAACAACGTCTGGGTATAGGCCTACTAGATGAGAGAAGTTATTATGAGAAAGTAATTATTCTCCAATACAATGTCAAAAAATAATTATTATTATCAATATTTACAAAAATAAATCCATTAACACATAATTGAATGAACAAAGAGAAACAAAATCTATTCTTACGTCATCAGTGACGCTTTTCATTGTTCTTTACTATATGCGCCTCATGGCGTCTAAATTAAAACGCCATTATGCGCAAGCTGCATTCATTTTAAATGCGCGTTCAAAAGGCGCAAAATGCAAGTTGCATCGCATTTGCATTTGCGTCACTTTATGCACACGTAGCCTATAGCTAGTCGACTGCGTGCATGTGGTTAATTAGAATTGGCTCTTAAATTTGTAATGGATCCTTTTGATTATCAGCATTTTTACTGTCGAAAACACATAAGTGTGTAACCTTTTCGTCAACATGGTTTCCAAATTATGCTGCTTGGGGCCGTTGCTTAAACAGCAAGGAAAGTATTACCCGAGGAGAAATGAAGAACGCGTCATTGAACAATTGGAACGGAGCGCATGGCAGGAATACACAGTTCCCGATGAAGCTGAATGTCCGTATGACTGGTTGAAATCGGCATCGACTACGAAGCAGCGAAACGGTCGTGATCGAAGAAGAAGATTCTTTTCACGAATACGATCCGTTCATGTAGTAACGGACCCAGAGATTGCAGAGGATTTCACGTTTAATTCAATCGTTGCAAATGGAGATTTGTCGAGGAAGGAGTCTGATGTTATCAAATCTGTGGTGAATCCCGAACTCCCAGAGGATAAAAACGACGTTGCCCTTGATATTGTTAAGAGTCAAACAGTTGGAGTTGACGACGTTGGTACTGAGGACAGATCTGTAGTTGGACAAAATGCGGTAAGTCACTGATCCTGGACGGTTGAATGTTGAGGTCAAATTCATCTCTCCCGGATGCCCAAAATTTTATCTAGACCTAGACTCTAAACCTAGATCTAGGTCTAGAACAAGGAGTAGAATCTAGATATCCTTGAGATATACACGAGTGGACTTTGTACTAGATCTAGAGAAGGTGGATGATTCCATTTTGATATCACTCTTTTTTTGATTTTGCATGATTCTTCGATGTTTTAATTGATTTGAAAAATAAAAAACCAGATCACTTTGCTCATTTCCGAAAACTTCTTTCCCGAATCAAACTGATATTCTAAATGAGAAAATCACACAAAATGATTAATCATCGATAAACAAACAATACCTGAAAATTGTTTTTGTAAGCTTTCAGTTATTTACGTTATGCTAGTTAGTTCTTCGTGTGTCTTTTCTTCAGAATATATCATCAGTCTTGACCAACACTGCAGTTACAAATGAGCAAGCACCATCAACTTTACTCCCAGAAGAGGTAGAGACACAAAAAGAAAAGGAGATTAAGTCTGGAAAAGGAGCGCTTTTAAGTTCTCAAAAGCAGGAAGTCGATGTAAACCAGACTACAAGCATCACTGAGAAGTTTTTAGAGAATGAACAACGATGCGTAGAGACCAGTGTCTCGTCTTTACCACCGGCTGCGTCATCATGTTCGGCGTCAGCTTCGGCAAAATCCCTTTTCCCTAATACTCAAAAAGACACCTCATGTGACCTGAATGCATCGAGTGACCACCAGGCATATCAGCAGTCAGCAGACCAAGGTGTTGAAGATGGGGAAAATGCAGAGGAACAGACGCCTTCAGGGGTTTTGGTAGATCAAGATAATGTAATGGATCACGCACGTCTAGAAGAGGATCGCCAGGAGCAACGTATGCGAGACTGGATTCGAGTGCACCGTCCTACAGTTCCCAGAGGCCAGTCTCTGATGCAGCAAAATGGCCGTTCCTCTCAACGGCAGAATCAAGGGCAGAGGGAGAACAACCAGTCTTCACGTTCAGGCACCGACCATGTGATACGTCATCTTATAGCTCACCGACCTCATCAACCATATCCACATTTTCCCCTTGAGCTGCCGCAGCAACGTCGCCAACAAAGTCATCCTGAACATCGAGTCCGCCAGTTGAGTGACATGGAACAGATCCAGAGAACCCTGCATCAGTATCATATTCAACGAAGAAGTCGGCCCAACGAAGCAGAACGAGGAGATCGACGACGGGAGCAGCGTCCTCAGCAACAACATCAACAAAGGCCTTATCTGGCAGGAGAATTTGGAACCGTCCGGAACGACAGCGAGCGTACTAGAGAAAATATTGTACGAGAGCTACGGCAGAATCGGCAGAATCATCGAACAGATCACCGGGAAGGTTATGTGTCAAGGGTCATGGCCATCGTCAGGCAACGCCACTCACTACCCCAGCAAAACGGTACATAATTAATAATATTGTGTATGCTACTATTATTAATTTTTCTTTTTGCCTCTAATGAGGTGTTTATTCAATATTAAAAAAAAAAAAAAAAATTAATTTCATAAACAATTCAGCAAAACAATGGCACATCAACAAAACACACATTTTAAAGATATAACTAAGCAAATTTGCAGAAAAGTTCATATTTTGTACTTTCAATTATCATTTATTTTTAGCATGTGATTCATTTTTCTCTTGAATAAATTTATCAAATTCGATGTATATTCGGTGAAAAACCTACAGGTTTTATGGTTATACTGTAATCTTTCTCCCCATACAGCCGACAATCCTCCAGTTTCTCAGTCAGGCCATCCTCCTCCAGAGCTAGAGAGACGGGTGAGACCACCAAATATTGAACGTGCTGTGCCACGACAGAACCCTCATCCACCACGCAGGTATATACATTGTCATATAGGACATGGATTTTTTGTTTCATTTCAAATTGCATTTTCTTTAATCGTTTCATTGTCATTCAGTCTTGATCAAGGTTTTCCAGCGTATGGGCTAAAGCTAATTTAAAATACCTATCCTCGGAATCAAACTCAATTGCTTTTTTTCCCCTCTTCTAATTACTGACAGAATAAAGTGCCGCAGTTTAGTAGCATACTATGATCTTTCACATGAAGCATTTTGATATTCTGAAGAAATGCATTTCAAATCCGATTAATTTGATGTAGCTCGTTGTAAAAAATCTTTCCCTTACGTGGGACAGAACGATGATAATAATAATTGTAATTAGGACTGTACTGGTCAATTGCTTTTTTCTTCCTCTCTATGAGCCTTATTCTAAACAATTAATTATTTTTTTGTAATTGACAGACGAAGGAGATGCCAGAAACATTTCAATGGAGCGGTGTACCAGCCTAAAAAGGAGTAATCTTTGTGATTTCAACAATGACCCAGAAGTTCAGCGAGATACAAGTCATCAGATTGTTTGAGGATATTTTAAGAAGTCATAAATGGTCGTTCAGATCAAAGAAATATGATGTTTGTAACAAAAATCATTCCACCTATCAATAATTCATTGAATATTAGGACCGACAGTGCACTTTTCTGCAATAATGTCTTTCGTGTATTATATAGGTAAGATTTCTTGATAGGCCTTTGAAAAATAGAGAACAAAATGTTACAAATAAAGGATTTTACACTCTGGTTAATGCCTGAGTATTTCATAACAATAATATTTACAGTAATTGAACCTCATTTGCAGAACCAAAACCATTTAATCAATTATATTGGCAATGTTTTGTATACGAATAAGAAGAAATGAGGAATGTTCATTGAATTACAAAATTATTGAAAGAGATCTAGAACATTTAAACCTTTTTTTCGAGATCCATCTCTGTTATTAGCAGACTGAACCAACTTTAGAATTGTGTTTCTTGTTTCACTTAGAGTGATTATTATAATGATTATTTTGCATACATATTTACGCCTGATTTTCATAGTATATTTTCGTGTATATCTTAGAATGATTATTTTGCATATATATTTACGTCTGATTTCCATAGTTGTCTTTCGTGTATGTCTTAGAATGATTATTTTGCATACATTATTTACATCAGATCTTCAAGCATCTTATTGGACGGACTTTAAAAACGCTTGCCAATTTTGTGATATTTTATTGTTTTGTGACCATTTCTTGTTATTAGGCTATGATAATATTGATTGGAAGTTATACTGGATTGCTGACATCTTCATTTAGCTGCAACCAGATTTATATTTTGTCTTTTCCATTTGTCGTTTCGAGATTAGCCTCTGCATAAAAAATACAAATAATAAAGTATTAACTTGTGCATTGTTCAATTTTGTTATTTTGTGGTAGCTATGGCAAATTCGATGTACTTAAAACTGTACAGTTTCTTTTTTCGTTTTATAATTTATTTCTGCTTATTTGTAGAGCTTTAACAAGATGTAGATGCACCAAGTGTATTTGTTCATATGGTACTGAGTTAACTGTTGTACAAATAGAACCGTTTTGTTTACTCATTTAAAAAATGAGTTAATAATATTAAAGTGCCCGAGGATATTAAAATAACTGACTCACTCGTCTCAAACATGTTACAAGTGTTCCGTCCAACCCCTCCCCACCCCCACCCCCCCCCCCATTTACGACACGGATGTTAATCATCCTAGATCATTGACAAACTCTGGACTCAGTACAGTAATGGTCCAAGATATAAATATGAGGTATGAATACAAAGGCCCGAATTCATAAAGCAAGGTTTGAGCTCAAACCTCCTTTTGTTTCGCCAAACCTCCTTTTGTTCTTTACAAACCAGGTTTGTAAAAAACGCGTAAAACGCGTCATATATATGACGTACGAAAACCAAGGTTTGTCGACAAACCTCCTTTGTGAATTCGGGCCTGTAGGTCTGGCCATCGGGCTGAGATACATTAAATCTGTGAGAAAAATATGGCAGGCTATGGAGGAAAACATTTAAGGAAAATCGTGTCTCAACCTTTAATTCATTTCGTCTTTTCTAATCGTGTCCATAATGACAGCCAGTATTTAAATTGTCACTCGGCTACAAGGATAGAATAGAATCATCTACACATTTTTCTAAAAGCCTTTTCCTTTTCTTTTTTTTTCTTCAATTTTCTTTTCAAAAAACTGTTTTTACGGTCTGCGAACTCATTATGATGCTGTCAAGCGAGTGGTCACGCCGCCTAGGGGAGTCGAGTGCTCAAAGAATTCAATCTGTGAACAAAGATCCCGTATAAAATCAAGACCTATTCACTAGAGTTTTAAAATAATCTGTGTTTGGTCATGTTAGGAACGGTATGGATGTGTATGACAACGTGAGATACACTGTGTAAGATTAACATTAGGCCGTTATTTAGTTCTAAACACACCTGTGCTTTACTAGGAAGAAGATGTATTAGTTTAGGATAACCGCATGTTAAAAACTACAATTTTGCCGGCTAAGGGACATCAGAGATTTCCAGGAGAAGTTATAACTAGACTGTTGCGAAGCTTGATCGTCGCATACCGACCAACATAATAAAAGCGCTCTGGTAAGTATGTTTTATACTACTATAATGTCCTTGTTACTTAAGATCTCTTTGATAAAGTGAAAGGGTAGCTTCGGGCAGCTAAAAAGGACACGTCACTATATGTTGACTAAATAAAAATGAAAAGAATGCCGTGACAAAATTTAGTTTACTAATATTAAATTGGTCAGGAGTTAGGAGAATATCATCCGATCCTGTGGCATTATAACTTGGGTATATGTGTATCAAAATCTAGAATGCCCTTTGCTTAGACGCAAGTGAAGTATCACGGAGGAACGTGTACCCCGAAAGGGGGAGGGGTGAGAGAGAGAGAGAGAGAGAGAGAGAGAGAGTGAGAGAGAGAGATAATTATGAAACAAAGGGAAACTGAGTGGACATAAATCATGGAATGAGATAATGGTAAAGATGAAGTGAGAGGGGTTGAGAATTATTCAATGAAAAAACAACAGTATTATCAAAATTGAAGCCTACTCGGGACAAATAAGTTATGGCAAAAGCACAGATGACTTGTTTGAAACTTGAAGAAATGTGGAAGTTTATAAAGACACAACTATTAACAGATACGGTAAATTCAATGAATTGGAGACAATTAACGTAAAGCTAATGCAGCAATAGAAAGGCAAACAAAATAATATGCAAGAATCAATGAAATGTCAATCTAAAAAATAACAACAATAACCAAGCACATTGTGGGATATAGAGAGATTGAAAGTAGGAAAGTGAGATCCCTTTTTTTTTATAGTAAAGGTCTTCAAGCTTGTTTGTCAAACATGGACCAAGGATATACCAATCAAGTGTCTGACTGGATACGAGTATCATTATTCTCTCTTTTCTGGGCCTCGTTGCATCAAACTTACCATTAAAAACTTTATTTGACTGGCTGTTAAGTGATGTTCCCATGGTAGTTAATATTGATGGCTAAATCACCATCAATTGTAAGATCATCAGAAAGAGAATCCCTCGCGTCTTACGTTGCTCAATTTATTGCTTGAATGAACATTTATAAAATAAATAGAACTTAATCATGAAACTCGTTAAATAATGTAACGCGACGGTGCCCAACAAGAGCATCCCACACTTCTTCAATGCTCATTTTATTGCCTGAATGAACCCCTATTAAAAAAATGGTCGCTTTAACACTTGACTATGCAGCCCGTAAAACTCATCTTCCATTATATTATAGAGGTCTCATATATATTTCATTAAATTTTATTTAATGAAACAAATGAAGTTATGCCAAACTTTCAGTGGTATGATTTCTTTTTACTTTTCATCTCTATATTTGGCCTCTGTCTCAATAAGACGCATCATATTTGAATTTAACTGATACAAATTTGAATTGAACAACAACATGCTACGATTATGCTGAGCACTTATGATATTATAATGTTTTTTAAAAATTATTATTACACGTAGGAAATTGGGACTTTTAAGCCCTGTCACTAAAATTCTTTCCTGATATCCGTATGATTATGATAAACCCCTAAAGGTCTTCGCACGATCTCTATGTCTTCCTCCCTATCCATCCCTCGTTATATATTTCTTTATATCTGTGTTGTTGCTATCGTCCCTTCCACCTTTACCCCCTCCCCCCCCCCCCCCCCCCTCCGTTGCTCCCCTATTCGAGAAAACAATAAGACTTTCCCCACAGGCTATGCATGGTATTTGTGCACGCGGATCAAACCTTGAAGCGATTATTGAAACACCACAATAGGTAACGACCTCAAAGTAGTATTGATTAATTCTACTTAATAGCTCTACGTGTACAATAATTAGATTTCAATTGCAATGACAACTACTATTATCCGTTCCCTTTCATAAATTTGTTATTCTTATATACTCTTCCTTTGCAACCACGGTTGGCATGACATAAAATGGAATGGGGTGTCGATGTTCATTTTTATTCGCAGTTAGACTTGAAATCTCGAAACAGAAATAAAATGGTTAGGGATTTCATAAAAGCACGGATTAATCATCATTATAGAGCAGATCTTGGGTTTATAGTTTCTTAAAATCTTTGAAAGAAACGATAAATAACTGCATCGTGTATTATCTTCCTGTCCCACTGATACCCACTATCCTTGAAAATCCCTTTTTATTTTGTCCAACCCACCTCAGACTGCTCATAATCAAAATTTCAATGATAAATTATGGTGTGGTACAGATGGAGAAGATGGAGCAGAATAAACTTCGTCATAGTTACCATCTCTTGTGGTATTTACACTGATCAAACCATACATTGTAACTTCGGTACATTTTTTTGCTTGAGCTCATTCAGATAACCTAAATACTATCAAATTACTCAAATTATATGTTCATGGGTAAAACACTCTTTCGACACGTAGATAAGTTGTGCGTGCATGCATTATTATCCTTTGTTTTCATTTCATTCACAATTCTACGAAGAGGTATAACGTTTATTACAACCTCCTTCATTAAATAATCATTTTAGTTAAGTACTCCAAAGTGGCAGCATTCTAAAAACTACATCAAGAGTTGATTTGCTCCTGTGCAACTCCTGAACAGCTCGAAGCAGATTATCACGAGGTTCCTTTCTCTAAGAATCGAGAAGTAACGTTCCAATGACAATAGAATTATCGACTTTTACTGACGTATGCCTTTACATCGTAATCCGCTTTTCATACTTGATCATTATTTTGTGATAATACAAGAAGGGATGGACGCAAGTAGTATCAGCCTCGGAGTAATGGGGGCTTTCAGTCAAATTGATTTTTTTCGCTGATGTGGCTCCTCCAAACTTTCCCGCCTTCGGGGTACAATCAATTCTCAAGGGTGGGGAAGCAGCTAAGGCCTTGTTATGGGTGTTGCTAGGATTAAACACGTCTTTAGATGTGATAGATTGTCTAACCGCATTGTAGATCTGTTCTTGTGGATATACCGCTGTGCAAAAATATCAAGATTATTGTGAATATTTCACTATTTTAAAGGTATGTTTGATTCATCACTTTTCTTTCACGTAGCATTTTGACATTATTCATAACGCGTTGGATTTAAGTGATCTTTGTTCATAATTGCCCATTTTTGTTGATATTTCGTATTATAGGCATTATGATTTTTTTTTAATCGTAATCAACGTCAGCCCATTTTTACATCTAAACTATAGCACACGAAAGTTTCATAACTTTGTATCTTCAATTCTTCGTTAATCGCGCTGTTAGATATCCATATGCTTTCAAATTCTTTTGTATTATCACTGTCTAAAAATCAGATTTTGATCATGATTATATAAACTACTCTTTCATCTATCATGAGATACAGTTATGCCATAAGTAATATCATGATATCATTCTAGATGTATCGCTACCTCTATGTCTTCAGCTGGTGTGTTGTTTCAGTGTTATTTCATTTCATAATTTCGTGATAACGATTTCACATAATAAACACAGTATGTTGTCAACGTTTGTAGAGTTACACCGTTTTATGTTTGAGTACATCACGACACCTGTACGAAAAATGTCATTTATTTATTCCCATATCATTATTGTTTTAAATAAAGAAGAATATAAAGAAGAGATTCACCATAAAAAGCTAACTTTAATATGCTCCCAGAATAACGATAGAAAAGACGTTAATATATTTGTTTGTATATAATAAAAGTCATCCAGGAACATTCTTATCGTTCCGTATGATAATGCTTAGTTTCTGTTACCAGATGTTTATCATAATAGTTAATCCATGCCAAACCGATTCTCATGGTGCTTTCTTTATAATTATCAACAATTTTTAATTACATCTGAATTTGGTCGATGCTTTGGTTTTGGATCGTTGCGTTTGTACCATTCTCCATTAAAGGCTTATTCTTTACTTTCATTTTACACAGGGCATAACGCTTCCACCGCGGAGTTTGCAGTATATCAACATCATGGACATTCTCACCACACTGCTAAGCAACGTGGACCATCTTAAGATGTTACCTCAATAACTCATTCAAATTTTCTGCAAACTTTTACCTGGAATCCATATATTTGGCACATCTTTTGGAAGTGAAATATCAGCAAGAATTATGTTGAGATGGTGTCAATAGTCTGTTAATCTAAGAACTATCACTTTCTGGATTACAGGAGAGAAAGTCAATTTTAGAGTACAATGGCGCGAAGCTCTTATCGTCTAGACTTGAAACGGGATGATCCCAGAACACTTATGATCAAAATGGATGCCCGATTAACATTTGCAGGACGCGAGAGAAATCACGCGTTCCATTTGGAAGCTGAACGCGAGCTTCGTCATCTTGATTACGCGCGTCATCTGACACGCTCCACCCTTGAGAGACAGCAGAAAGAGATGCATACACGTATGAACTTCTTAAAGAATCTTGTAGAGCAAAATAGAGCGAGACGAAAGACAATAGAAGAGCAGGGCATGGATGGCGATAAACTGGAAAACATGGTGAGACGATTGCTGAAAAGAGGAAGAGGAAAGAGGATGGTTTGCGACATACATTGCCGATTATTCCTGCCAGGAGAAACCTCGAAGATTTAGTCAAGTCCATGCAAACAAAACAAAATAGCAATTCAAACATGAGTAGATCGCTCGGGTATCTCAGCGAATCATATTCACAACATAGCATGCAAGAAACTTTGAGCGAAAGGAGACTGAGACATTTGAAACAAGAAATGAGAAATGCAAAGAAGAAGGAGATCCCTAAAGTTCAGGTAACTGTAGAGGAGGCAGATCGTACTGCGGAGACGCCCAAGGTCGTGTGGGCTAACGCAGAAGGTGTAGCAAGTGTCAGCGAGAAGGACAAAACCAGTGGTGGGGTATCAACGCAGAATATCTCACTGCCCGACATTTCACCAGGTAGCAAGACCCAAAGCAAACCTACACCAGGAGGAAGAAGGGTTTCTCTAAGTCAGATGATTGCGAGCGGTGAAATCCAGAAGCTTCCAGGTATCGGGCCCGGTAGTGCCAGCATGGCATCTGATGGAACCCCGCAAAATCTCAATTTGGCGAGAACATTCTACATGAACACGAGTCAGAAATCTGGTCGCGGTCCTGTCTTACAACCCATACAAAATCAGCAGCAGAAGCCGAGCAATAAACGTGGGTGGGTGAAGTTACCTCCGAACATGGCTGCCCTCAAATTCAAGGAGGAGGACGCCGAGAAAAATCCTTTCATGACGGCCGATTTTAAACCTGAGACGTATCGACCTCGAGAGCTCGTGGAATCGAATAAGCCGGATGAAATGTACGTGTGGCTTGGGTTTGACTCAGAGGAGGAATACCGTCAGATGGTGAAAGAAACTCAAGAAGAACTCGATGCGGAAAGTGACGACGGTGATGAGCTAGTCGAACTGGAAGTCATTGACGAGCTCGAAGAAACTACTGAGGACACAATCGAAAAAGCGGGTGCCGAGTATCTAAAGAAAAGGAGGATGAGTAGACGAGTATCTCGTCTTAGTGCCCCCATTGCTATGTTAGCATCTAGTCTGAAGAGAATGAGTGTAAGTCATGGAGTCTCGAACTCAGACAGGAGCAAACCTAGTAGTGGACTCAAGAGATTCATCCGAGCTGCGAAGACGATCTGTATTGTGAGAAAGTTCCAAATGAATGGGGAAGAAAACGAAACAGAGAGATGATAGTAACTTGCTCGGACATATTTTACTTGGTAAAAGAACTGTAGATCAGTCAAAGTAAGTAGTGAATAGATAGAAAGCCGATTATTTCGAAATAGAGTACAAGTATGTGACTTGTTAAAATGAAACTTAATTTAGAATGGCAAGTTGCAGTTAGCTTACAAATAAATGGTTCTAGAAAAGTCTTGGCTTTTTCCTTGAATTTAGCGATAGTAGATAATGCCTCCATCTGATATTAGGATAGCAAATAAAAAACGAATGTTTATTGTTGATAAAGTTTATGAACTTAATATGTATGATATAAATTATGTCACAAAAGAAAAGGTGGATTCAGCTTCGTTTAATCAACGATTTTAAGTAGCAGTGATTTTGATATTACAGTACGTTATTACATTGAAAGACATTTGACGAAAGCTTTACTTTTTAAGCTTAGCTGTATTTTTAAAGACAGATAAGTATAGTGGATTATTGTAATTCTTAGTTAGAAACAAGATTGCATGGTTGGTGCAGAGTCATAGAATTTCTATGACTCTATCCTTATAGTTATGATCAAATCTACAGAATATCATAGGATGCAACTTTTTATGTGGCTTTTGAAGTCTAAAATTGACAACCATGTTTACACGTTGAATTATACCTCGCTCTTAGTCGTATAGTTACGTCCATTTAAGATATAGTGAGTGGTAAAATTGCGGTTCAAGGGTTTTGGGTGCTAAATATCCATTCAATATTGTTTAAATATTGCCTTCAGAGGTTTAGATGGCAATACTTCAACCTAAATTCGCAAAAAAGCAGAAATATATGCCAAAATGTTCAATGTTAAATTGCATTCGCGATATCTATCCAGGCCGTATCGATATGATATATATATCAATTAGCAGGCGGCTTCTCGGCAACATTTGTATCATCACGTATCAGTGAAACGTATTCTTTCACAATCATGATTGGTAATCAGAGCTTCCATTTCATTTTTTGAGAGGGGGGCGTTTCCAAAACTGGTCTATACCTTTAATCTTTAAAACGTGCAAATAGTCGACAACTTTATCTCAAAGGGCTGCATTCCAGATAAAATCTGTCTGATAAATACAATGAAAGAAAAATATGTTGAACCTAATGTTGCAATACTTTCGTTTCTTTCCCTTATTTTTGACTATCCTGCAAAGGACTTTGATAATTGTTAGACAGTCACGACGTACAGTATACGATGTCGCTGCAAATATTTGTCTTATCTTTGTTACTTTGACTTTATATTATTACAGAATACCGACTCCAAGACAGGAGGAATAAAGTTATACGATACATGAATACGATTCTCTTCTCGTCATGTCATTTTCCATGGGCTGTCGGTCTCATGGTATGTCTGTCTTTCTCGTGGCCTGTCGGTCTGAAGGACCCTCAAATAACTTGTCAAAGGGTACGCGAGACAACCTTTGTCGGCTTTGTGAAGGTTTGTCCGTATTAATGTTTAGTCCACTTTGATTGCTCTTTCAGCTATTCATAGCTTTGTCACTAAAATATTCCTCTCCCTGTTGATGTTATTGTGCGACACAACACATAACACGAAGAATCAAAAGTGTTTTGAATTGATGCAAAACTCATATCATTGCGAAGGGGAAGCCTAACTGATCAAATACAACAACTCTCCTCTTTAAAATATGTTTGGGGCCCGCAGTAATCAACTCTCAAAAATGTTAGTTTCGAGATCCAGATTTTCTGCCTTCAGCGGTCCTTTGTAGAGCATCAATATTTGTGACGTCACACACGGGACACGGCTGGCTAGCTGCAGACTAATACACGCGCGACTCCGGTAGGCGGCCGGTGTGACCGCACCGTTTGTCCTACCAGTTTCGTTTGTCCGTCGGACATAACATGCGGGTTTTCTGCTCGCATCGATCGTCCGTGACTCGCACGGATCGTCCGAGGGACGATCCGTGCGGTTTGCTATCCGCACAGTCTGTCCTCATTTTGTTTTACGTGTATATTTGATAAAAGGAAGCAACTCGGTAAATCATGTGGTAGACATTTTTTGTAGATATTTTTTCTAGATATAATAACTTTCTACAATTTTTTTAAAGCAAATGGGCCAGTCCTTTTGAAAGTAGAAGTGAATATTTTATTTAAAACCTTTATTCTATGAATATCGGCCCCACAACTGTTGTAATCGATTATACTTTTGTACGTGGCTTCGTTCGTCAACCAACTCACTACTAGTATATACTCGTGATCCAGGGAAATAAAAGTGATTGAAAATGTGGTTGAAAGTGAGTGGGGGAGGCTAGAGTATTTAAGATAAGGTAGAGCGTAGCACAAATTGGCGGATGCTCAGGGGGTAGGGGCATTTAATTACGGTCAGATGAGCATATTTTAATACCTTATTCATGACACTAGCAGGTCAATAATTGGCGTATGGTCCAAGGGGCGGAGCCCCCGGAAGCGCAGGGGTTTTAGGCATTAAAATAACGGTCAGATGAGCATCCAGGGGCCAGCCTTAGGGCACAAGGTGGGATCCAGGGGGCAGAGCCCCGGAAGCTCAGGGGTATGGGTATTTAATTACGGTCACATGAGCATACTTTCTTTTCTATTTCTTTCTATTTAATTATCTTTAATATACTTTTTCAAAAGTGTGGGGGGGGGGGGGCTTGAGCCCCCCAAGCCCGCCGTTCCACAGGACCTGACAAGTATTGTTTCCCTGATCCGTATATAGGACAAGACCCTGGGGCAGCTAGCCATAATCCGATATTTGGGTCGTTTTCCGGTCAGAACTAGCCCTTACTATCATTCCAGGATTTTGTTTCAGAACCTGAGACAAAGTTACCCAATCCCTTTAAGTCTCAAAAAGTAGACTTCAATGACCTGTACAAAGGCTTAGGGACCGGGGGGGGGGGGCTTGGGGGGCTCAGATATCATTGAGCCCCGCAAAATTTTTTGCGGAGCTTATAGATATCATTATGCCCCCCAATTTGTCGGTGGGGCTTAGATATCATTGAGTCCTTAGGGGCTAAGATACCATTGAGCCCCCAATATTTAAGCGGTGCTCAGATATCATTGAGCCACCCCCGATACTTATTGCGGGGCTCGGATATCATTACCCCCCCCCCCCTCCTCCCCAATCATTATATTCTAGGCATGAAACTCATGTATACCTATAATCTACAGGCTTACCATTCAAATATAAACATTTTATAAATATTTATTTGGGGAGGAGGGGGGGGGGGGGGCTCAGACATCGGATCTCGCATACCATTGACCCCAAAAAATATATTTGGTGGATCTCAGATAATTATCATTGAAACCCCAAAATATTTTGGCGGGACTCTGATATCATTGAGCGCCCCCCCCCCATATTTTGGTGGGGCTCAGATATCTTTGAGCCCCCCCCCCCTCCCATATGTTTGTGGGGCTCAGATATCACCCAATTGTTTTTTGTGGGGCTCGGATAACATCACGGAGCCCCCCGATATTTGTGTGGGGCTCGGATAACATCACGGAGCCCCCCGATATTTTGTGAGAGGCTCGGATATCATTGAGCCCCCCCCCCCCCATATTTGGCCGGGCTCGGTTATCATTATCATTATAGATTGGTGCACATCATTATGCTCGATCATCCTTTCCTATCTGTTTGTTTTCATTCCTCTTTTAGTCATCCTTTATTTGCTACCTATGATATTTGATAAATACCTATATATGCAAAATAAACCCTGGAGGTTTAAAGTTGTAAAGTCCAAGGCAGTTCAACACACGCAATCATGAAATAAGGATGTCTTCATCGAAGTGTCTCTGTAGGTTTAGAACCACGCCCTGTGCCTACCCGCTCAGGCCACTCTACATTCAGGGGCGTCGCTAAAGGGGGGGGGGGGGTGGGGTTGAAGTCGGTGGGATTTTTCGGCCAGCAATTTTTTCCCCTTCGAGCTGTGACTTTTTATCGGACAAAGAAACATTTTTGAAAATTCAGACAATGATTTAGAGTCGGTACAATGAATAGTCTTCTTTTTCTAATAATTTAATGAAACGTTGAAGCTCCCGCACTTCGCGCGTGGGATGGGGAAACTGAATTCAGACAAGGATTAAGAGTCGAGAACGGTACAACAAATCGTCTTCTTTTCATAATAATTTAATGAAACGTCTAAGTTACCGCGCTTCGCGCGGGAGGCCTTTCACCCATCCCCTCCCCCACGCGCGCTCTTTAAGTGATTCACTTGCTCAATACCGCCTCTCCCTAAAATAAGATCCTAGCTACGCACCTGCGTTTAAATATATAGCTATGATGCTAACTAAGTTGACGAAATAATGTGTATATTCATGTCGTCGACGAAAATGACCATTTGCGCATAACAATTTAGCCTTCGCATGATCATTTTTGCGCTTCTTGCTGCCAGCAAGATAGTTTCCTGCTGCATTTATTTTGTTGCTGTTATGAGTTTATATTCATATTCTTATTATCAAACAGGAATAAATAAATCAATATATAAATACATTTGTACAATACGATTTGTACGATAGTTGTACAATGATGATAGAAGAACCAATGAAAATCGCAACTGATCTTCCCTAATTCTTTTCCCCCTTTTCTTTTCTTCCTCTTTGTTTTCTTCCCTTTCTTTCCTCTTTCCCTTTCTCTCTCTCTCTCTCTCTTTGCTGAGGGGGGGGGGGGGGGGAGAGGGTACACATCGGGAAAAATTGCAACTGATCTCCCCTACCTTTCTTCTTTCTCTTTTTTTTCCCTTCCTTTCCCTTACTTCTCTCTCTCTCTCATTTAAGTTTGGTGAGGGAGGCAGGGGCCTTTCGCCCCCTCCCCCGATCCACATGATGTTGGTGGGATTAATTGCAACTGATCTCTGCTTCTTTTTACCCTTTTCTTTACTTCTTCCTCTTTTGTGTTCCATTTTAGCTCTCCTCTTTCCCTTTCCCTTCTTTCTCTCTTTTTTTTTTTTGGCGGGGAGGGGGGGGGGGGGGTCGGGGGGCAGAGGCAAAGGCCTTTCTCCGCGATTCACATCTTGTGTGCATGAAAATTGCAACTGATATCCCTTCTTTTCTTTTCTTCTTTTGGTTCTTTCCTTTCCTTCCTTCTCTCTTGTTTTGCGGAGGGAGGCAACAGCATGGGCGGCAAGGCCCTTTCGACCCCCCCCCCCGATCTCCTTCTTTTCCCCTTTTCCCTTTCTTCTTCCTTTCCTCTTCTCTCTTCTTTTCCTTTCCCTTCTTTCTCTCCTTCTCTCTCTCTTTCTCTCTTTTTGTTTGCTGAGGGGCCAGGGGAGGGTAGAGGGGAGGGGAAAAACACAACCGTACCTTTCTTTTCTTTCCCTTTCCCTTCTTTTCCTTTCTCTCTCTTTTAAGTTTGCTGTAGAAGGGGGAGGCAAGGGCCATTTGCCGCCCCCCGATCCCCAACTTGTTCGCGGGAAAACTGCAACTGATATCCCTCTTTTTTCTTTCCTTCCTTTTATCTCCTCTTTTTCCTTTACCTTCTCTTCCTTCTCTCTTTCTTTTTGCTGGGGGGGGGGGGCAACAGCCTGGGAGGCAAAGGCCTTTCGCCCCCCGATCACCTTCTTTTCCCCTTTTCTTTTCTTCTTCCTCTTCTTCCTTTCCTTACTCTCCGCTTTACCTTCTCTCTCTCTCTCTTCATTTTTTGTTGGCGGTTGGGGGTCAAGGCCCTCTCCCCCCCCCCCCCCCCCCCCACCCCCTGGATCCGCGCCGGGAAGACCTGTAGTGTCATCCCTAGCTAGCTGGCAAAGCTGAATATGGGTTATCCAGTCGTTTCATTCATTAAGTATAAT